TATTACACGTGTCAGATGAATATCCGAGGTAAACTCGAATTATTGACGCAAGATTTCATTTTCAGAAAACAAGTTCCCTTTCTTAGAGGCTACTGACAGGCGTGTGGACGATATTGGAAAGATAATTGGTAAGCATTTATCAAATAACATTAGGTCATATTCGTTCAAACCATCCTGAGGTCGATTCAGTCTCATAAAGATTCACATCTGAAAGGTCAGATTGGTATACTATTTATTGTTTTCAGACAAGCAAAGTGATCGAGTCAGACTTATTTTTGTATAATTATGTTTTTTATCAAAACCACGGTGATACGAAAGCTGAACTCCAGACGGGTTCAACATAGGTACCATTTTTAAAGTAGATTTGATATTATATGCATAGGAATTGAAACGTTGACCTCTCATCTGGATTACGTCATTTTGTAATGAAGATATGTTGTGGACATTTCCAAAATTTGACTCATCGTGTCCGATGCAATTTATTTTGATATTTTGAATACATGACATGCTTCTTCATTGACAATTTTGTGGCTCATCTTATCGTGAACATCTTGTACCATCTCTATTGGAGGGGCGACGGGGTAGCCTTGTGGTTAAGGCGTTCGCTCGTCTCGTCGGTTCGATTCTCCACGTGGGTAAAATTGGTGAAGCACATTTCTGGAGCCCCACGTCGTGATATTGCTGGAACATTACTAAAACCGGCGTGTAAACTTACTCACCCCATCCCTCCGTCAATATCAGTTCTATAGTGATGCACAAACACATGCATTATGACTAAGCCAGAATTGTGCAATAGTCTTCCTTTTGAGAAGTGACTTCTAGTAATTATGGAAAGTAGTAACCTAACTAACAATTTCACGTTGTCACAACGTTGTCAAAACGCTGTGCTTTCGTTGTTACAATGTCAAGCTTTCGTTGTTACAATGTTATTCTGTGGACTCCAATTTACGTTGTCACAACGTTGTGGCCTGACGTGTGACACGTCATTTTTACTTTAACATTTACAAGAATATGTCTCACCGTGTGTGCACAATGACCCTTTTGTTCCAGCTAACCTGTCAAGTGACAATGCAGGAAACGAAGTACGTCTTGGTGACATGGAGACAGCGATGAGTAATTATTTTTTGTGTGTTTTATTGATATTTATAATGTTTCCCTAAGCCTGTAATTCCTGCTGAATCTGTTCTGTTGTGATATGCGTAGTTGCCTCTGTTGACGCCAAAAGGACTAAAAAGGTAAGTGCTATTATGTTGTGACATAATGTTACACAATAACGTAATACTAACCTTGTAACAACGTGTGTCATGACGCTACCAATCAACAACATTCTCACAACGTTGTGAAAACGTTGTATGTTAGCTGTGAATTACAGTTTTTATCTGTTACATGTCCAGATTGCAAATATTTACAAGAATATGTCTTACCGTGTATGTACAATGATCCTTTTATTCCAGCGAATCTGTCACGTGACAACGAAAGAAAAGAAGTACGTCTTGGTGACCTGGAGACAGCAATAAGTAATGGTTTTTTTTGTGAATTTTATTGATATTTATTTTTTACCCTAAACCTCTAATTTCTCCTGAATCTGTTATGTTGTTATATTTGTAGTTGCCTCTGTTGACGCCAATAGAGATTAAACAATCACAATTATTAATTAGGCTACTTATGGTTTAACAGCATTGCAAATTCCTTTCAGAAAACAAGTCACCATACGAAGAGGCGACTGACAAGCGTGTGGATAATCTGGAGAAGAAAATCGGTAACTAGTCTTTCTGAACATTATTTCAGTCTTGCAGTATAATATCTAATGTGAGAAAACGAGTGGTCATTTGACCCCTTGTCAATGTCCTATCAAAAGTCCTTAAAAAGTGTTGAAATAATTAAAATTTTAAATATGTTCTATCAAAAATGGTTTGGCTCTTTTCAAAAGCAAAGGAACAAGTTTTTTTATGCATTTCTTCATAGATGTACATATTGCACCAGATAGAGAAAATATATTTTAGCTTTTTGAGAAGGACCGAAATCGATTGGTCATAATGGTTATCATCAACATAATTATCATACGTCAGTTTTCAGTGATCGTGGACGTTTTTATGAAACTGCTCAATACCAAATATTTGAAACCAGACGTGTGGATTAAAGTATGCCTTTTTAAGATTGATAATCTTGGAGTAATGGGTTTTAAAGTCAAGATGAAATATAAACCTCTTGTTCAAAGTTAGCCGTGAAGATCCTGCTTAGAATTGTTTTTCAGCAACCCATGCTTGTCGTAAGAAGCGACTAACGGGATCGGATGGTCAGACTCTCTGACTTTGTTGACACAGTTCATAGCATCCCGATTGCTTACATCGATACTCATATTGTTGATCACTGGAATGTCTGGTCCACACTCGATTATTTACAAACCGCCGTCATATCCCTGGAATATCGCATAGTGCGGCGTTAACCTGTTAAATGACCTTGAATGTAGGGAGGATCGTCTTACTTACCTGAGGGAAACAATGGGTAGTGTATCTGATCAACTCATTTATATATTTTTCCCTAATTAAATCTCTTCTGAGTTTATACATCAGAAAACGTCCCATAGTGATCCGTATAGACCGATACACCGATATAACCGCGGCCTTTTCGATAATCATTATTCAGTTTTCGTTGGTGGATAGCTACGCCTGTCTGATACCCGGGTCCTCTTTTAAATACCAGCGTTGAAATGTATAAGAAGCACGTCAGTTAAAGCTATTTTCGAAATCGGGTGAACGTATTCATTTCACAAAATTGCTTATTTTTAAACTAAAACAGGAAACAGGTCATTTGTACTATGTACATACATTAAACAAATACATATAACATCACTTCAAATGTACATCGTAGATGACTTCTACATGTATTGTTCAGTTACAATGGGTCAACGATTATCTCCGGTTCTCGAACGGGGCGAGAAAATGGATCAGGTATATTGGCTCAACACGTGATTACACGTCATGATACGATGGCGTCATGGGACGCTGCTCGTAACAATATACACCGGTCTCACAGATCCACACTAGATCATTTACCTTGGTTGATGAAATCAGAGACCACTGATGAAATAACTGGAAAATGGCTGAATGCGGCTGAAATGAACACCAGGCAAAGTACATAAAACACGTCATAATGTAATTCTGGACTCGCAAAAGTCCAGAAACTCTCCGCACTGTGGCCAATTTCTGATTAGATATTTGACAAAATTACAAATGCTGTTGTTATGAATATATGCATAGGATTCTAAAATGAAACAACTTTTTTCGATAACTCAAAATTTAAACTCGCTCGTCAAAACGAGTTGAATTTTGTGTCATGATACTCATAAACATAGATTCATTCATTTACAACCTCCAAAACATGGGAAAACATGTATTTTGAGTAAAAGTAACTGGTTTTTACATCACTTTAAATTAGTCGAATTAAGTCAAAATGAGCTGATTTTTGTGCCGTGATATTTATAAACATACATTCATTCATTTGCAACCTCCAAAACATGGATTCTGTGCTAAACTAAACATTCTCGGCGGTCCATGGGCGATCGAGTTTAAATTTTGAGCTTTCGAAATAAAAATCAGTTTGTCATCCTCAGCATGAAGTCATAACAACTGCATGTGTAATTTTGTCAAATTCCTTGTCAGAAAGTGACCACAGTGCGGGGAGTTCCTGGACCTTTTTGGGTCCAGAATTAAATTGTGACGTGTTATAAAAAGATTCCTTAAATTAACAACCTGTATGTAATGCATGCTTAACTGTTACCTTTCCGACACATGCACGGGTTTATGTAATTGCCTGTCTGATGGAATCACCATTTAGCATCATTCAACCCCTCCACATAGGAATAAGAGACCAAAATAGGTTCCATCTCTTAATGGGATACAAAAGTCTGGTTGCTGTGAGGTGTCTGGTTTGGGTATCCATGCAGCATGTTCTGTTTTGTTTTTCTCGTGCTTTGATCTGGAAAATAACTTCTCTATCAAAAGTGTTCGTGGTGGAACTCGAGATGTGAGAAGCATGGGCATACGTTTATGTTCATTGCGTTTGTCACGTTCTCTCACAAACATCTAAAATTCACGCAAATAGTAAATGAAAAATGTTCAAATCTTCAAAAGGCATAAAATCAATAGTCAAGGAATGGATTATATACCTACGTGATCATAAGATTTGAGGAGATTGTGAAACGAATATTGAATGCATTGCATGTGAGTTATTCTTTTTCCATTTTCAGCATGAACATTAATACATTGTGTCACGATTTCGGATACAGCTTTGTACTGTCAATTGTCAGCTATGAAACTGTGTGTCCTTCATTGCAAACTATTATATATCATGCTGTATATTATCGCTCAAATGTTTCGTGCCTGGAACACTTTGAGAATGGATTATTAAAGAACGGTTTTCATAGAGTGAAACCATATACATATGTTTGGCGTACCTCGCTGGTAAGTATAAATTGGCACGGCCCCCACTGCCGCAAGCTGTGAATACACAATGTCATTTAGAAAATTGACCCATTTTTGCGGCAGTTGCGATGGGTTATTCCGCTGACTTCGTGTGCTGGCGGTTAGGTGCCTGACTCTAAGCGTGTGGGTTCGAATCCCGAATGGGAACCAACCTAATAAATGTAATAGAAGTATATATATATACTTATCCTATCTCACGACTTGCACCTCTCTCTCTTGCTTCGACTTTTAGTGGAACGACTGTAAACTTTTTCCATGGGCCTACTTGTCCATTCGCCCGTGCACTCCATGCTGATCTCCTTAATTAGCTTACTAGTTCCTAATAAAGCTTCCAGGATGCTCCACTAATTGCCCACGTGACTACCTTGAATGATCATTCTCATCTTGGAGCCAACGTTGTAATCTGAGTAGTGGGGAGGCCGGGCGGGCATCTATCGCGTGAGATAGGATAAGTATATAAATATGCAATTTATATTAAAATTTGCACTTATCGTGAGGTTGGACGGCGGGCCGCAGATTACCCTTCTGTCTGGACAGTGCGAACAGCTGGTCTTGGAGCTGTGTGGACTGATGACAACCGTAGATAGCGATGTACAAGGGAGGTCTGTTACGCATGCACGATACTCCTATGCTTGTAGTGGGTTCTCCGGAACCCTTGGCTTACTAAGCACAACGACTCCCAGGGAGATGGGTGCTCCCAAGCGATGTGGTGTTCGGCTGCAACCTTGTACAAGGCAAGGGACGCAACTCGGCAAGTAGGCCTCGCCTCGCCACGATTTACAAGGTACCCCCGTAATTAAAGTCTTGCGACTAGAATCGGGCCAGCCCCTGCTTCAAGAAGGCCCCCCAGACACTGACCGAGGCGGATGAAAGAGAAACACAACTCGGCATCTCCAAGGTTTAACGTTCAGTTCCGGGCAGCATCAAATTGACCCTCATTCGTTAGCCTAAGCTTAGTCAAAGGATGTGCCCGACAACTCAGGAGGCAGAACGCAACGAAATCCACTGGAATTCGGGAGTGTCACACTTCACTGACGTAATTGCTCCGTGGAGTAGAGGTCAGTAAGCGTGGATGTCAAACACCTCTGCATTGTCATACTGATTGTGCCTCAGGTCGGTAGGGCCACGCTAGGTGGCCGTATTCCGATGCCTTGGTATGGAGGCCAAGCTAAGTAGTTCTTAAACCCATATAATGAGAACAAAAGGTTGAGATCCAGTTCAACTTTTATTCAGTATATACAAGGAAGCAAGAACGCGAATGCGGAACCGTCCCTCATCTGCGTTGTTGGGCCGATGTATGCTGCTGAGCCAGTACAAGAGGTCCGAACTGGTGTAGTCCCTGGACATCCGTGACAGACAGGTCTAGCAGGTAATGTGAAGAGAAGACTGTATCAGAACGCCAGAAGCAACCTTCCATGATAGCGGTCAAGGAGCAGTTGCTATGGTGGGCCATCGTCGAGGCTAGTGCACGAGTCTCATGAGGATTGGAAGCGGCTGGAGGAGGCAACCCTGCAAAGGTGTAGGCTCACAGGTTCGTGGCACGCATCCAGAAGGCCAATGTGGTCTGGGAAACCTCAGTTCTTGAAGCGGTCGACAAGGGTATGAAGAGGCGCTTCCGTAGCCGTCGACGATCCTTGGAGGCAGCGAGGTAAACGTGTAGAGCCCTAACAGGGCAGAGTGTCAAATCTTCTTTATCATCAGGCCCAAGAATGGTGGACAACGGGGGAATGGTAAACATCTGGTCCAGTTGCCCTGGAAGTTGTTTTTTTGCAATGAAGTCCCAGTGGAGACACAGGAAAGCCTTGCCATACTTCTTCTGCTCGAACCGCACCCGATTGACATCAAGCGCATGCAGTTCAGATATATGAGCAGTGGTAGCCAAAGCTACCAGGAAGAATGTCTTAAATGTCACTTGGTCGAAGTCCCTGTCTTCTAAAGGTTCATAATCTGTAGAAATCATATGACGAAGGACGATGGACAGATCCCAGGCCGGAGGTCTGAACTTCCTGGACTGGTCAGAGAGTCTATAGGAGCGTAGTAGACTCTGCAACTCGGGCACAGTGGAAATCTTCATGCCCGTGGTGGTAGCCAAAACCGAGTTGATGGCAGCTAAGTAGGTAGCTAACATAGTACCATTGAGGTTCTTAGTAGTACGGAGATGCTGGAGAAACTCAGCAACGACCTGAACCGAGGTGGAAGTGGGAGATGCAATTCCCCTAACCTTACAATAGTCTTCAAACTTCTTCCGCTTGTTGTCGTACAAGGAATGGGTCGAAGTGACAGCTGTATCTACTCGGCGAGAGTAGCCCTTAGCTATTTGAGACCTCTGAAGGTGCGCCAAACGTGTAGATTGAGGGTCTGAGGTGACCCATGGCGCAGTTCCGAGTGAGGGTGAAGAAGTAGGTCGTGATAACGGGTAGATCATCGACTGAAAGATCTGGGGCAGTAACTTCCACTCTGTCGGGGACGTTCGGCTGGATCAAAACAAGGCATCGTCGATCACATTTTTTACCTGGGAATGTGTCTGGCTCTGGCTACGATGTTGACTGAGTCAATGAGATGGAAGAACCTGATCGCCCATTCTAGCAGATTTGCCGAGCCTGTCGAGCCTAGATGATTTATATACCAAACCACTGTCGAATTGTCTGATTGGATCAACAGCTCGTTTATATAAAGTACCCGTTCGTCGGATGACAACACCCCGGCCACTGTGTGGTCGAGGAAGTGAGCTCCCCAACCCATGAGGGATGCATCGATGAATAGGTGATGAGTCAGTGCAAAGGGCATCATAGAGACTCCGGCACAAACATTCTGTACTGGACGAAGTGGTAGCCGTGAAGTAGCAGGTTGGTGACGTACAGATCTCTGAGGATGGTCCAATTCGGGGTCAAGATCTGTAATCTCCCGCCTACCAGAGTGTTGTAAATCAGAACGACTGGGGCGGAAGGTCCCAGTGGTGCGATTGTCTCAAGCCGTCGCTGCTTCCTTGCGCTGGTCCCTGGGCCAGAGTTGGTCCTGCGGGGCGGATGGGCGTGGGGCCGGGCGACGAGAGGAACCATCATGGCCAGATCTGTTTCCTCTGCCACGGCCTTGAGTGGATGCTCCACGAAAAAGATTGCGTAAATCCAGACTGGTAGGAGTGAACTGTGCAGTTCGACGCTGTTTTAATGAGTCCTGGAGCTGTGACTTCTGTATCTTTAACAGTTCAATCGAGACTTGAAAGTGGGTTTCTTTATCAACTTTAGTAGATACTTCTTGGCTGCTACCAGAATAAGTATGCTCCAGAGCAGTGTCAACAGCGTCGACTGCTGCAATCACGCAACTAATAGATGGCAACATCTTTCTCACGGCTGAATCCATGTGAGCCAACTCTTGGTCCTCAATAAGGTAGGGCGAAGCAGCTCGTTTGCCACACAGGGTTCTAATATCCTCATCAACTGTTAAAGCCGTAGAGAGTTTTGTTAGGCCGTGGACATGAGAGGTAGACGGATTATATCTGGGAGCAGAGAATCCGTCCTTAATTCGTTTCAGGCTCTTGAAACCATCATTTAGTGTACTGGATAATTTCAGAATACAAGGACGAGGTTGTAGGGTGATGGTAGACCAATCCCGGTTCCTAAGAGTATAAGAGTGATCCAGGCCATCTGCTGAAGTACTCAAGGGAAGTTGGAGCTTCTCAACAATCCAAAGGAGTACCTGAGGTGTCTCAACTGCTATAAAGCTACCCCCAGGGGTAGATAACTCAGAGTGAGCGGGAGATGCAGGCATGGCTATTTGGACAGGATCAATCTCTGGAGGTGGACCAGATGAAGAGCCAGGAGCTACCGAAGCCGGGTGGGCTGGAGTAGAAGGCTGTATTTGGTTCCAGGCTGAGGTTATGGCCCTGATCATCATATTTAGATCCGGAGTCGCTGTACGAGTGGGATTGTTATCAGGTTCCCATGACTCAGCCATGATCCTAGAGTGAGTCGAAGGATTCTCAGAGCGTGTAGACAGAACATCGTAAGAGACTGTAGGCCCCTAAGTGGTATCAGAGCAATGATCACCCAAGCGTCGGTCAGAGGAACTGTATCGAGATCTCGATGTGGTAAGTACCGAAGTAGGTGGTAAGCCGGTAATCTGGATTCCCTAGTATGGATAGGTGATCCTGTATGATATGAAGAACTACTCTGGGTCGCTGTAGTTCTAGTTGGTGATCTGGTTCTGATTGGAGCTCTGGTTCGACCATCTGAATAGTATCGGCCATGAGATGTGGATCTGTACTGTGATCGGTCAATGGCTCTGTAAGGTGATCTAGATCGTATTGGTGACCTGGTTTGGTAAGATGATCTGGATTTGTAAAGTGATCTGGATCGATTCGATGCACTAACTGGAAACTGTGATCGTGATCTGCATCTATAAGGTGATCTGGATCGAACAGGTGATCTGGTTTGCAGTTGCAATCTGGCTTGATTTGGTGATACAGATCGGTTAGGTGATCTACTTTGATGTTGTGATCTGGATCGGTTCGGTGACCTAGATCGGTCCGGTGATCTGATTCGAAGTTGTGATCTGGATCCCTTCGGTGATCTGGATCGGTCCAGTGATCTGGATCAGTCCGGTGATCTGGATCGGTCCGATGATCTACTTCGATGTTGTGATCTGAATCGGTTCAGTGATCTGGATCGGCTAGGTGATCTGGATCGGTCCTGTGATCTGGACCCGTTTGGTGATCTGGATTGATCAGGTGATGTGGATAGTAGTTGTGCTCTGGATTCGATGCACTAACTGGAAACTGTGATCGTGATCTGGATCTACAAGGTGATCTGGATCGAACAGGTGATCTGGTTTGCAGTTGCGATCTGGCTTGATTTGGTGACACAGATCGGTTAGGTGATCTACTTTGATGTTGTGATCTGGATCGGTTCGGTGACCTAGATCGGTCCGGTGATCTGATTCGAAGTTGTGATCTGGATCCCTTCGGTGATCTGGATCGGTCCAGTGATCTGGATCAGTCCGGTGATCTGGATCGGTCCGATGATCTACTTCGATGTTGTGATCTGGATCGGTTCGGTGATCTGGATCGGCTAGGTGATCTGGATCGGTCCTGTGATCTGGATCCGTTTGGTGATCTGGATTGATCAGGTGATGTGGATAGTAGTTGTGCTCTGGATTGTGACTGTGATCTGGATCGATCCTGTGATCTTGATCGGCACCGTGATCTAGATCGGGTTTGTGATGGTGATCTGAATCGTGAAGGTGATCTAGAATGATGTTGTGATCTGGATCGGCGATTAGGTGACGAAACCTGAAGTGTTGATTCATGATGAACGTCATGGCGACGCTGTTGTAGACAGCTCCGTCCGGTTCCACGAACTGTTGGGGAACAGTTGGCTGGTTGAACGCAGTTGGACAGGCTCCAAACAAACTGAGACAGTCGAGGGGATATGTACCGATGATCTGGATGATGATAGTGTCGATCTAAGGCAACGATGAATTATCGATCACAACCACCCGCGAGTGATCTGACGCTATGGAAGGAGGTGATTGATGCGCAATAGGTGCCGAACGTCCTCAGATAAGTAAGAATCTGATGAAGCGTCCATAAAATCCTCTTGAACCACAGACGTCGCACTCTTGCGTGAAGGTACGATTTTCTGTCGCTGTAACTTGATACGCTTGGCGGGAGTGGGATCAGATGCTGTTGATTTCCTGTCCCTATCGGCGATACTCCGGGAGCAAACACGAAGATAGGCCTTAAAATCCTCATCTTTTAGTGAATTACACTTGCCACATCGTTTGTTCCAGTTACACTGTCCAATACAGTCACTGCAAGACGAGTGAGGGTCGAGGGACGAATAATTCGTCTTGCATTAAGCACAAACTTTCCTTTTCCTTGACTGATTATCTGTTTTCCCCATGATGTTAGGGTGAAATAATGTCCCTAATATACAGCACGTCCACACAGTCGTGCGACAAGAAAGAGAATGATCATTAAAGGTAGTCACGTGGGCAGTTAGTGGAGCATATTGCAAGCTTTATTAGGAACTAATAAGCTAATTAAGGAGATCAGCATGGAGTGCACGGGCGAATGGACAAGTAGGCCCATGGAAAAAAGTTTACAGTCGTTCGACTAAAAGTCGAAGCAAGAGAGAGAGGTGCAAGTCGTGAGATAGGATAGGTTTTAAAAAGGACAGTTTTATGGATGTCAACTTCTTTATTATGAGGAACACGACTTAAGGCATGGGTACACACATCAGACAGATATATAGTGCTAAACATAGTTTAGGTTCTTGTACATTATATTATAATTGTTTGATTTACCGTCGCCTGAGAAACAGAGTGTTCTAGATCCTTAAAAACTTTTTTTCACATGTCTTGTGTTTCTACTTCACAGCCAATTTGAAATCTACGCTGGATAAAGATTGTGGCTCGCCCCCTCCTCTAAAAGGCACATACGTTGTTTACAATTCATCAAAGGTATTTGCCACCGCTGTCTACAGATGCAAGAAGGGTTTAATGCAGGTCAATCCCGACGAGAAGGGGCAGAGCGCCTGCCAAGAAAGCGAGCTCTGGAAGCCTGTCAACATCAAGTGTGCCAACAGTAAGGACTTTCACTGTCTGTATGAACACGTTTGGAAATGTACGAAAAAAACAATGACTTACGATGCCCCCAGCACATGTCTGTGAAATAGACAAGCTTGCAATTACCCGAATTCGATATTTAGTATTTTCTTTATCATTTTATTCTAAAGGATCTTCAGAGGACACTATACATTTTTATGATAAGTAAGAAAAGGGTAACAAATACGTTAACAAGTAGGACAGGAGCAACACGCACTCAATGTGTGACGTTTTTATCCATAGCACGAATAAGAATATGTACAGGGCGTCCTGGACAGTCAAAAAAATGTTTACCAGGCCAATGTACACCGACAGATGTTATGTCTATCATTGATTTTATAATAGAATAATACTTCCTGTGGGCGTTTCGTTACATACACTTGATTGCTGTGTATATTCTGCCGCTCGAACATTGGAGAAATTTCACATAGATTCCAAAGAAGAAAAACTTCCAATGATAAGAACTAAACATCAGAAAAAACGGTTTCTAATAAAACGTACTGAAACCAGAAGAAATAGTTCCTGGATTGAGCAGTCAGGGAACCCACTCTCTAAAAGGAAAATGTCAGTGTGGAGAAAATTAAAATTACTATGCAGGACAACTTACGTAAAGGTACTTCTCCAACTTGGCGTATTCCCTTATGATAAAATTAAATACAGAAAAAATGAGAAAAAGAAGAACAAATTTATAAAACAAAATAAACTCTGAAATAAATACTGAAGAGCACGTATACAGTAAACTCAAAACAAAATGTGATGGTGAACACGACAAACGGCCTCCCATGGATGCCAGTGAAAGGTCCTCGAAACAGTTGTGGTCTACACCCGGAGACTGTAACCTTGAGGCACCATGGGTCCATGATTACGGTTATGCAATGCATGAAAGAATGACCAAGTCGTTTGACTATTACATCTCACCTGGTTGTCTGAAAAGTGTTATAAAAAAGTCCAATCAAATACAGCTCAAGGACCTGATGGCATTCGAAACCGGTACTGGAAACTGTTCCACTATGTCCAAACACCATTACTTCAATGTTTCAATTCTCTCATGGACACAGGCGATGCTCTTTATATAGTTCTGCAGAGGTCGCAAAATATTCCTTCCCATTAAAGGAGACTTAACTTCCGCTTTATCACATGTTTGTTTACTCATATTATGAATATTCACAGGATGTTTGACAAACCTCGTGTCATTTTACTGAAAAAAGGCATTCGACTCTGTCCCTCATGAATGGATTCTAAAGTATTGTATTGATTTCCCTGAGCGACTACTTGATTTACTCAAGTCGTTAATGAGTTGCTGGTCGACTCAACTTGAGAAGTACTCGCAAGGGCAGAATCTATTCCAATCAGAAGGGGAATATTCCAGGGGAACTCCTTCAGCCCTTTCTTGTTCAGTTTGTCTTTAAATTCTTTGAACTTTCTGCTCAATGAAGAGGAGGGTTACCTCCCGGACCTCTTCAGCACAGATCCCCAACACCTCTTACTCATCTTCTTTACATGGATGACATCCAGCTCCTTGCCAAAGGAGATACCAATTTGAAAGAACAGGCTTTCCTTTGCCGAGTCTCTTCCTTTGCAATACTCTTTATTTTAAACGTGCAAGGTTTAAACGTGGAAGATCAAGCCCCGATTTCTCGAAACAAACTTAAGCTTTCACTCAAAGTTCAAACTGTGCTTGACAATTTGAAACAGCCGAATGTTTAACTCATCTGCATTTTTAAAATATAAAAGCCGAAACAACGTACGTATTCTATTCACAAAACTCAAATCGTCTACTATGTCTGAGTATAATTTCGATTTCAGTTCATTCTGGGATATGCGTTTTCTCAAATTTGAGTAAAAACTCTAACTAAAGTCAAAACTCAGCCTTAAGTTTGTTTCGAAAAATCGGGGCGGCGAGGCCTACACATATCTTGGAATGCAGGTTCAAGACAAGCTTCAGACTGCCCAGATTCAAGAAAAACTCCGTGCTGAGTATAAATCTCGCTTAAAGAAAATCTGGAGCTCAGAGCTAAATGCTAGAAACAAGGTCAAAGCCACCAATATTTTTGCTGTGCCATTACTCCTATTCCGTTGGAGTTGTTGATTGGACAAAATAAGATATCTAGAGTCTTGACCGCCTGACCAGAAGGATAATGTCTGATATCCACCACCCTGGTTCCTATCTCAGTCGTTTATGTATGTCTCTTTTGGCAGCAATGTGATTCACGGAAAGCGTGCTAAATATGCGGACCCAACCTTTGAAAAGTCTCTCTGCTGCATTTGTAACTTAATCTGTAAAACCTAATAATAATGATAAAACAATTAGGTCACTCTGTGTAACCACACTTATGGTGCCTACCTACACAGACACATACCACCCACCTACCCACTATTCACCTATCCACATTCAAACACAACCACCGAAACACCTACCTACCTACCTATTCTACCTACCTATACCCACCTTCCTACCTACCCACTACCAACCCGACCACCCAACCACCTACCTACCTATCTACCCCCCCCCACACACACACACACCTACCTACCTAACCACTTACCAAGCTACCTACCCACCCCTCCACCCACCTACCCACCTACCTACCTATCTACCTACTGTGTATTTTCCAGTATCTGGATGTTCAAAGTTATCTGGTCGAAAAGTGTTGTACTCTGGGACTTGGTCAGAAACCACATCTGGTTTCACCTGCCAACGATGGGATACTCAGTTGCCACATGCTCACAGCTTCAAAGACGACCATTACTTCACCACTCCAGGCCTTCCCGAGACTGTATCAGGATCTGCTAACTACTGCCGTGACCCGTCAAGCAACGGGTATTTGTGGTGCTACACCACGGACCCCATTACGCGCTGGGAAAAATGTAGCGTCCCTGTGTGTTGACATGGTTACCATTACGCTACTGGAGCTCACGTTCTATTTGCTTTCTGGCAAATGGGAGCAGCATTGTCTCTACTAGCTTCTAATATACACTTCTATGGCAACATGTCAGATAGATTTGGTGTCGAAGGAAAAAGTCTTTAATTTTGTAATTTTCGCCATTAAACAACATGTGTCAGTATGTTTGTTATTCTATTTTGTCCTGCTTTCGAGTGTACTGGTTTCATGAAAACAGCCAAGGAGATTGTATATGGGCGTTATGACACAGCACAAGATATTAATTCGAATCACAAAATTCATTCTGTAATATGTAAGATATAATAATTCGTGTTTTTAAAATATATTTTCTGTTGAAAGGAAGACAACGCTAAAGCATTCAAAAACCTGCTGTCTAACATTGATCACCAGAGAGATACTGAAATCGTTTTTCAGGAATGTTGTAACTGTCGTTTTTCGTGGGGTAAGGATTAACGGTAGTTTGTAGTCATGTGATTCCACTGAGTAAGTGATTTCGTTTAGTTTTTAGCAATATTGCAGCTATATCACGCCTTGGGACACCAGAAGTGAGTTCCACACATAGTACCAATGCCTTGAATTGAACCCGGGTCTTCGGCGTGACGAGCAAACGCTTAATACACAAGGCTACCCCCACCGCCCCGTGATGACTGAAATGTCACTATGATTATATATCTTTCAAAGGTAATGTTTTGTCATTTTACTAAAACCAAATTGTGTCTTTCACATCTTGTAGACATTCAGTAGGGATTTCAGGCTAGATCTGGCTGCATGGAACCTTGGTGCGTCAGTGGCTTCGTGGATTGTGTGGTGAGACTCAGGGACATTTTGTGAAACAATGCAAGGACAAGATTTTAACGTTTTGTTCTGTTTACTGCTGATAGACTAATTATAGTATAAGGTACGGGACAAGACGAGCTTGGTGTTGAAATGAGTTGAACGTCTGTGGAAACTTGGTGATTTGAAAGATGGAAAGACGTTACTTGTGGTTGGCTGGCTGCTTAACGCCGTACTCAGCAATATTCCAGCTACATCGTTCTGGTCTGTAAATAATAGTCTACGAAGTTGGGATACAATGACATGTGTCAAACCAAGTTAGCGAGCCTGACCACCCGATCCCGTTAGTCGCCTCTTACGACAAGCATAGGTTGCTGAAGACCAATTCTAACTCGGACCTCCACGGAACCGTTTCTTTTGGACACCTGGCCTAACACTCAGAATAAAACCGGGACTGGTCAGTTTGGAGTAGGTATGATGTGTGCATTTGGAATCACCATATGTTTTTTGTTTGTTTGATTACCACACTCTAGGCAATATTCCAGCTATGTGATCATGAGTCTGGACCAGGCAATCCAGTGATCAAGAGCATATGCATCGAACAATGCAATTGGGATACGATGACATGTGCCAACCAAGTCAGCGAGCCTGACCCCCCGATCTAGTTAGCTCCTTTTACGACAAGCATCTTCACGGTCATCTTGTGGTGGGGTAGTTATTTCAGGGGGCGGTGGGGTAGCCTAGTGGTTAAAGCGTTGACTCGTCACGCCGAAGACCCGGGTTCGAATCCCCACATGGGTACAATGTGTGAAGCCCATTTCTGGTGTCCCCCGCCGTGATGTTGCTGGAATATTGCTAAAAGCGGCGTAAAACCAAACTCAGTCAGTCAATCAGTTATTTCAGAGGGTTGCTGTGAATCAGGCCAGCGTCTGAACTATTACACGCACGCACGAGCGCGCGCATGCACCACGAAAGCACGCATGCAAGCACGCACGCTTACACAAACTGTTCGTTGCCTGACTCCCGAGATCGAAAAAATCAGTCCTACTGGAAAGTCCACATCTTGGGAAAGAAACGGTTAATGTCAACTTATGTTGATTATTTTAAATACAACTAACTGATCAACATTATCTTTTGAACAAAACAAAACTTGAGTTAAGTGAACTTTGAACTGTAATTTTTAATATATTTGAGTCGTCTTTATCAAGGGGCGTACATCAAGAATCGTACAACCATATCTCGTGTGATCTCGCTATGAGTCACCAGCAAATCTTGTGTTGTGACGTGGAGCGCAATCGTTGTCATGGCGACTGATTGCTGAGCTGCATGACTAAAGTACTTTTACAAACTTTACTGTATGTATATCACGTGCGAGATACTTGAGCGCTTTATGAATATAAGCAATATTGTCCTGGCAACTGTTCATGTACTCCAGGTCATATGTTTTTTTCAATATTTCAATGTATTTTCATTTTACGTAGGTACGTAAGTCAATTTCAACTTACCAGGATTTTTACACGTAGTATTCTTGTTATATTTTTTAATTTTGGCTAACATTTCTTACAATCGCCAACAGCTGAAGGGATGGTGTAAGTCCAGCTAGGGTCCATGCAGGTAGCAAAGGTACTGTTAGTCCCCATGGCCCCTAGCATGGTGATCTACCTTCAGTTGTTGGCCTGTTTTTATATTGTATTGTCCAAATAGTGCTATCAGTTCACACTAGTGCTATCAGTCCACACTAGTTTTAGTTGTAATTGTGATATTCTAGTTGTTTTACTGTCCTTCGTCGACAGGTTTTTATAGTATACATATCTTCCATTTCAATGTCACATATGTTCTCGTCACGATATGGCTGAAATATTGCCGATGTGACGTTAAATAATAACTCACTCACTCACTCATATTACGTAGAATAGGATTGTTCTTCACAACGTTTTTCAAGAATAATACAATTAAATGAAATTATTATTCATTTGTCATTCCAAACCGTGATGTCAACACAGAAACTGACATGCATTTGTTGTGCTCGATATCGATGTCTGTCTCAAAAGTAGAGACATTCTGAAACGAACAATAAGCGGGATCGTGTCATATCGTGAGTGAGTTAAAATTTGACGTTGTAGAAAATGTCAGCCATATCGTGACGACAGAAAGTCATAAATAAAGAATACATCTTTAGAACACTTTATAAAAAGCTCTCACAATATAACTGCTAGAATTTCACATAAATTTTTAAAACTAGTTTGAAAATATTAAAATATCAAGCTTTCATTGAGAAACTCAATATAAAAGTAGGCTAGTTAGCGCTTTCCACTGAAGTGAGGCCAGGGACCGTGGGGACTTACAATACGTCATCCTCCTGCACGGCTCCCCTACAAGGTTTATAGCATCCATCAGCGGCCAGCGATTGTATGCAATGTTAGCCATGATTGTAAAATGTGCAAATACGATTAAAAACGGTGATATATATGAATATTCTTTAAATGATGTGGGCTTATATGCCCTCTTCAAGGTACAGTAGTTTTACTGTGCTTCAACCCCCATTAAGGGTATAGCCACAAACAATTTAAAGTCCATTATCAAATGCTACCTATATATAAAAGAATTTCGCAATTAATTCTAGTTTAAAAGGCAATAATTAAATGAGGACTAAATGCATTTAAATGAGGATACTAGAAGATGCATTTAAAGTAATTGTGATCAGCCTAATATCACTCATCCTTTGACAGGAATATTAAGAATGGCAAACCTTAGAGCAAATTTCTCTGGAAGGTATTGTCATTCTAATGGTATGATAATTAAATATTGCCCAGTAACTGACTCATTCTCAGCAGAGATTCATGCAACATTCTTCTTGTAAAATCATAAACTCGTAAGAATTGGTCTTCAGCAACCCATACTTGTCGTGATTTTGGAAGTCTTGCAGAAGGATGAAAAACTTGAGCGTGTGAACTCGATTTTTAGGAAACACATTCGCCCCTTGCTTGACACTTTGGATTACTGTCAAACATAATCAAACCGACCCGACCCTTCCCTCCGTAGTACTGCATTACAAATAGCGAGACTAAACCATTCACCTTCTTGAATAGATGTGACGCATTTTTATGAAGGTAAAAAATATGCCATCGTCATTTTTTCCCAAACATTAATGGGATGTGTCTTCTCATATGGATGGTTTCCTTCGTTGAACATCAAGCAACACACTTCAGACATCACTTGTTTATTTCAGGACATATTGTAAGAATAATGAGATAAAATAGTGTATCAGTGTGTTCCGTCAAAGGGTGTCTGTGAGCAGAACACGGACTACACCTCGAAACTGCCTCATGCAAAGATGACTTGTGTGTCTACCCAAAACATGCTTAGGTAAATCGTGCATAGTATTAAACCACTGAACCACTAAACTGTCTGTGCAAGGAAATGTTTAGGGGGATGTGAGCTCAAGAGCAGGGACGAATTGTCAAAGGAAATTTATTCTAATCACACAGATAACGTCCGTCCTTTGGGCATGAGTTCGAATCTAAACATGGGGCTGACAATTTAATATTCCTATAAATACACATAAATACATATGACAATGACAGAAAATACACAGATTTGGCACTTAATGACCATCACCCGCCTGACGTGGGACTAATGGAAATACAATCTGAACAAAACAAGATTATTTACCCTGCTGTGCAGTCAGAAGGGAGTAAATAGAATGATCTGGACTTAGCCCATGCATAACGGGATAATCATGACGCCCCACTTGGATGTTAAAGCCGGTCGTTCAATTCCTGTCACGAGACTCGAGTGAGTGTGTGTAGTTTTACGCCGCCTCTTGCAATATTCAATTAATATCACGGCCTAGGAAACAAGAGAGTGGTTTCACACATTGTGCCCGTGTGGGGAATCGAGCCCGGGCCTTCGGCATGACAAGCGAACGCATTAACCTCTGGGCTACCCCAGCGCCCCTTCACGTGACTGGAACTTGTAAGTTACACATGAGAACTGACAATATAATACTGTGGGTAGTGCTGGCACGTGTTGAAACATCCAGGATCGGACATATAGCCTGGTCAGTGTTAAACAACTATGTATAATCAAATAAGTCTGTGTTCCTTCGCCACTAACCTTTGCAAGTTCTAATAATGTTTTGCTACACGTTATTCCTGACTAAACTCATTCGTGTCGGGTGATAGTGCTCCTAACATGCGTTGGCTCAGGAAACACAGGGTGAGTTTTCCTTTTAACACACACCACAACAATCTTTACGATCAAGCTGAAACCACAGAACCCAAGCAGCACGGCAGAAAAGATTGTGTTGTGCTTCGTGACATCAAGGTTGTTGACCAGGATAGCCACGAGCGCCCACAGAAGTGCAACATAGGGCGTGAAGGTGTAGCGGGAGTACTTGTCAAACACTGTGAGGTCCGTTATGAAGTACACGATCAAAAATACTGCTATGAAAGCCAGACAGACAGTGGAGGCAGTGCTTTGGTTAATTGGAGGATTGGATCTGTAGGTCATGAGGACCGCGATGTTCAACAGCGCAGCAACAAAGGTCCAGGTGGCGTAGAGACCTAAACCGTTGTGGACCAGTCCTCGGACTAGGGAGTCATCCAGCCTACGGTGCTGATCAGCCAGGATCTGTCTGTTGTCGTAAAGGGCTTTGTAAGATAGTGCTAGGCAAGCATAGAGACTTGCGGAGAGAAGGATCAAGAAGACGAACGCTAACACAAGCACGAACACGGCCGAGATGTCCAAAGCTACGTGTAGGAGGAGGCTGAGGATGAAGATGCCCAGAAACACTGAGGTTAGGAGAACAGGTGGACCTTCACGAACTACCCGGTAGCTTAAGTTAATGGAGAAGAATATCCAGATGATTTGCCAGATGAAGATGACAGGCCAGATGAAGAAGACCCAGGGACTTGGGGTGATTTCTGTGGGGTATGTGTAGGTGATGGCATCGGTGATGCTAAGGAGAAGAACTGCAATAATAATTGAAGAAGGATAGAATTATGTAACATATGATTTTTTCTGAGATTATGGTAGCCAGTCGAATGAAAGGGCAGCTGCAAACCCGGGTTGGATTCCCACATGATACAATATTTGAAGCTCATTTCTGATGTGGAATATTGCAAAAAGGGTACAAAATAACTCATACTCCCAAATCGGAGATTTTTCACCGTCCTGTGAAATGCAAGACTGAATATAAACTTGGGTCGCCTCTGAGGGGTACACCAACCGTACGTCTTAATACAACGCATATCTATCAAGAGAAACAGGTGCTGCTAAATATGTAGGGTGGAGAGGGCGGGTTTTTTCCGTGTGTACTTCCTTCACAAATGGCCTAATCGAGGTAGAGGTAACACAGTTCGTTATCGAATTTAAAACCAGAAGATAAATACATAATCACGAAGCATCAGGATTGGATATTACACAATGTACCTACGTAGAGATTTAGTTCGGGCCTGTGACGTGACACGCAAACGTTTTAAGCATTACCTTACCCTACTGTCCCAATTTATGCTTAACAGAATAATTACAAACGTACAAGTATGGCTGACAATAGTGTCCCAGCTAGTCAGGGGAAACTGGCAAATGTTGTGATCAAGATTTGGAACAAAGTCACCAGAAGAACCAATACTATGATAAATCTATGAAATCATTGCCTTCAAGCTGGATTGTTCAAGGATCCACTGTAAGGTCGTTCCAGTCAGATATTGTTTCAGCCAAGTTGTGACAGTAAGCTCACCTGAGTTGACCAGCGGGGACAGGAGGACAATGAACAGGGCTGACAGGACGGGCAGTAGGAAGAACAGGAAGATGATGACGATGTTCAGCGCTACCAGATTGTAGTACTTCGCCATGGAATATATGTCTGTGGCTGAAATATAAACTCAAAAATATAAAAGTATGCTTATTTTGTGTGTACTCAACTAAACTGACGTTCAAAAGAAAGTACGCATCTGATTCCTTGATAAAATATTTTCCTTAAAACAGCATTAATATTTAAAAAGTGTTTTGATTCTGCCTTGTCACAAACATTGTGCAAGTGTTTCCAAAACACCACAGATATTGTACCCAATTACAACATTGCTAGCAAAATATTTATGGTTTTATTGAGAATAGTCCCAAAACACCAGGTGTGTACTTTCTTAAGTACGTCAGTATATTATTGAAAGATTGTTTAGCGTGAGACGGTACAAGGTGCTATTTTTCGTTGTTGTGATATTTGTTAAAAGGTTCATGGTTGTGTTTCTTTTGCCTCTGAGTTTACGAACGATGCAAACAAGACCAAACTATTATGACTTTATTATTTGAATGCACAATGCCAGTTAGAAAGGGATCAAATTCAACATATGTTCTACCTTGGATTACACTTTCCCAGTAAAGCTCTTTTTCTAGTACTTTTGCTAGATTGAGTCCCATCCGGGATTCGAACCCACAATCTCAGAGTCAGGCTCCTAATCGCTTAATGCAAAGTCAGCCATCGCGGTAATTCATCACCCTGTAATATGTAATAGTTGCTTATAAGGACGTTTATGTTGTTTTTCATAATTAATTAATTCGCTGTGTAATTTAGCAGATCGACTGAGGTTTTCAGCAATACCCAAGCCACATGAAGCAGATTACACAAGACATGGGCTTCACATATTTGGTAACCATGCTACAAGGCTGTACTGAATGGTGAGCCCATGGATGTATAGTAATTCGTTCATTCGAAGAGGCAAGTCAAGATTAGCGGAAATGACAGGATGCCAGTCTGTTATTTATTATTTTTAGAAATTATCGTTTAAACTATTAATTTTTTACCTTAGAGATTTGTGCAAGTCTTAGGACTCCAGTCTGTTAGTTTAACCATTAGGCTACATTCACAAGTCACTGAAAGTATTTATCTGTATGCCAGACTTTTAGATGCAGTGTATTTGTTATTTTGCAGTTTGGTTAGACTCAACTGTGACCAGTGACTGATAGGGCTGTACGGTATTACCGGTGTACCGTATATCGCAATACGCTTTTCAAACGATACCTATTGCAATAATTTTTCTAAGGTATATTGGGTTAAGAACATAATATGAAGTTTTTTGTGATTATCTTTATGGTTTGAATTAAACTCTACACATCCTTTCATTCACAACTGATGTGTTTCTTCGTTATTCAATTACAAAACTGCATACTTTGACACAATAAACTGTATAAAAAATAACATATAATCCATGACTATGCAACCTAATTTTGAGATTGCTGTTATCAAAACCATATCATATATGTTTAGTGACTTATAATGTAGAAAATAGGATTGACATGCACAATTAGTGCCACTCACTGTCAAACACTTAAGTACCCAATATATCGCAATACGGGTACCTGAATCGCAATATATTGCAATGCAGTTTATTTGCCTATGCATAGCCTTAGTGACTGATGGGATGGCGTAAATCTAGCCGGGCTCCATGCAGCTAGCTACAGTACTGTAAGTCCCCGAGTATGGTGATCTACCTTCAGTTACTGACAATCTATAATCAATTTTTTATACCATGTTATTGATTAATGATCTATTCTCTCAAATGGTATCAACTAGTTTTAACTTGCACCTGTCATAAACTAGTTATTCTACTGTCCATCGATGACAGGTTTATTATTCTAAATACGTTCTATTTTCGAAATCTCATCACGAAAGGTTGAAATATTGCCGATGTGACGTTAAATGTTCGTATTTTAGTCAATACACAATAAATATACCTAGATATATACCTAAATATATCCATATGTTAAGCAATCAGGCTGCCACATTTCACTTCGTGTATTCAGTCCACATGCGATGACATCGCGAATACACAGACAATGGCTCAAAAACGGCGATCTACCTATAAATGCAGCGGTTCCAGTTCATGATTAAATTTTGTCCTATGACAAGATCGTCATATGACGTAAAGTCAAACAAGGGTTCGTCAAACAATGTCTGTATAAATACTTACCTCCCGAGTTAATATGTATCCCTTTATTCCTCTGTGACGTCGCTTGTGTTTGTGACTGTGGAAGGATGGTCTTCGCATTACAGACCCATGGCACGTATCTTTACTGACGTGTGGGTTTGATAGCTAACACACAACATGCATAGGTCACTGTGGCGCATTTCGAATGCACGAATAAAATTCTGACATTTGCGTTGGCTGAATGTCATTTTAATCATTTCTGTAAAACACAAGCTGACTAATTACGTTCCAGCAACATCAATGGTCACCTAAGTTGTCTTTCCCCTGTACGCATATGGGGAATAAAACTCGGGCCATTGGTGTGACGAGCAACCGCCTGACCAACGGGCTACCCAGCAATACCTACATATGGTGCTGACTATGAATCGTATTAAGAAATTCTTTAGTAAGAGCAAATATATATATATGTCCCTGTGTAACATGCAGTTGAAATGTTCCAATATTCGACTGATAGAAGAAATAGTATGTTGACTTAAGCAAAAAAGACACACAAAACGTTTCCATCATCATAATCACAAAAGATCTTACATTGTACAGATATCAAAGCGAGGCTGTGAATCTGAATCACCATCAGAAAGCGGCCTTGTCACGTGTTCGCGAAAAGAGATGCTGTCATAGATGGAATCCGGTATAGTGGGAGAACACATTTATTCCAACACACCCTACCAAGGAAATGAGATTCATCACATCATACACCTGTGTATCTGTGTAGTACTTGACAAGCAACGGAAATCTGCAGAATAAAAGTACCTCTGGGTCTCAACTGTACACTTCTTTGTAAATGTCCTTTTTGAATGAAAAGTGTGAAATGTTCTATATACGATAGTGTGTAGATGCACTCATTCACTAACTCACTCACTCAAGCACTCAATCACTCACTCACTCAATCACTAACTCACTCACTCTGTGTGTACAGCCTGTGAAGATCCGGATTAGAAGTAGTTTCAGTAACACATGCTTGTCGTAAGAGGCGATTAACGGGATCGGGTGGTCAGGCTCGCTGACTTGGTTGACACATGTCATCGTTTCCCAGTTGAGCAGATCGATGATCATGCTGTTGATCACTGGATTGCCTGGCCCAGACTCGATTATTTACAGACAGAATACTGTAGAGTGCGGCGTAAAACTAAACTCACTCACTCACGGTGTGTACACATATACAAAGAAAGCAGGAAAGAGAGAGAGAGAGAGGGAGAGAGAGAGGGGGGACAGGTAGGGAGAGAGAGAGAGAGAGGGAGGGAAGGAGAGAGAAAGAGGGCGAGAGCATGCTCACAAACGCAACATCCTCTAATCTTTTTCGCCTCATTCAATATTCAAGTAATTTTATTCAGCATATTCATAATCACATCTATCAGTCGAAGCAAGGCAAGAAAAAGACGATAAGTGACGATCCTCCAACGTGACTGGCCACCCTCTGGCCCTTACCCAGCTCTGATGACAAGTACGTGACGGAGTCAGTCACATATACATTCTCACAGACGCAGTACGACATGCTGTCACAAAACCGTTCCAATGAGTACAAAATGAAAACATTAGGCAGTCACACTCACACAGTCACGGGACCGTCTCTGCTAACAAGCTTAACAAGCATGTTTATTTCTTTATATTCGACAACACCCATGTCCTTAGTTCAACAGGCTGACGTGACCATTAGAAACTAACGAGAACGTTGAAACAAATGTGACGTTTTAACGTCGTCGAGGCGATGTTGGGGAAACAAATTTGACGTGAATGCTCTCATGCGGTAGTCTAATTTAGCTGTTTACCCCACTGAGCTGTGGGAACGAAAGACTAGTTCCTACTAAGGCTGCCTAAACAGTCTGAGGAGAGCCTTTATAAACCATGATCAACAGACGAGCAATACACTTCCTCGACATCGCTACGTCAAGATGGCCGACATGTTCCTTCCGTTGCTGTGTGTCGTCTTTGTTTTGTCGTCCTTCGCATCAGCTACCTTCAAAGTCGCTCAGAGGAGGCTTCAAACTACAACGAATGTGGGTATCATTCATTTTATTTGATAATATTAAAGGACGTTGGGGTAGTTCCGTGGGAATCGATGTCGACACCCTACATGGGTATAATGTGTAAAGATCAATTCTGATTCCCCCCGCCGTGATTTTGCTGGAATATTGCTAAAAGCGGCGTAAAATCACACTCACTCACTGATAACTCATACGTTTATAGCTCAACAAGCTATTTCTAGCTAATTTCGTGCTCAATAATATTCGAGCTAAATTCGGGCTTGTAAATGATGGAATCTCGAACAGACAAACAGATATGGATACTGGCAATGCCTTTGGAGAACTATAAGACGTCAGTATGTCAGATCAGCCGTTTTGCAACTTCTTACAAGTGCCCCCTTGTTTTCGTGGTATATGTCATATGTGTCGTAGATTAGCACATAAATACCATTCGAATACACACAGTGCAAATTCGTGAATGTGAATGGTAACATGAATTTACAGTATTAAATCTCGTCAGGATCCGCTGATCGCAGGTTCGAATCCAAAATTCCCTGCTGGTAGGTTTCACGAAAATGGTAATTCTAGCACGATATTGTGTGGTACTCGATTCTGACTGGCTTATCATGATTACATTTTCGTGTAGCTTTTTCCTAGTCTTCAAAATATCCTGCATCATTTTTTTTTCAATAATAGCATAATTAACCTTTCTGATATCGCTTTATTGTTTATGATTGTTAATGACATATTTGCAGGTTCTTATTGTTTTGTATTTCCATTCGAATCTTTACTAAACCTCGCATGACGAAAATGACAACAGTAAAAAAGTGTTCTTGTCATATTTTCATTCACTACGTCTTGTTTTGTATTGCGTTTTAACACATTATACATGTGTGCATTTACCTTATAGCGTCACATTAGTACATGTAGTGGAGTATTTTCTGGAGAGTATTGTTCCTTCCAGGACTGGCAGTTGATCGACACGTGGACGTTCGAATCAGGCTACGTCCGCTTCAACTACAACGTCACCTTTCCTCGGGTAAGAACGCATCAATGAATAATAAATATTTCAGCATGTTTGAGTCAATGAAGTTCTCACAGATGTGCTATGAACGATGCCACTGCTTTTCATAGAAACACATTCGTGATGAAGGAAGCGGGTTGTAGGATCACTCTTACTTTACGTAATAAATGTTTTCTAAATTTATAAAAATATTTAAATTATAAAAAAAAGTCCAGGTACCGTTAAACTTAATGTTTTTTTGTTGCATCCAGAAGCTGTGGAATCAGGTTTGACTAATTGACTAATGAATGATCACATTTCGTACCGACACAAACATATTCACTGAAACGTCAGTCATTGATGTTAGACTATACTCGAAAAGGTGTTTCTGACACTTGTGAAATAATTACCGTCCTTCTTCCAGAATTACTCCCCCATGAAACTGCTGTTCTACAGACAAGACCAGTACTTCCAGGCTAACGATGGTTCCAAGGTGAGGCTGAAGGAGATGTACGCCGTTTTCAGCAACACTCCACATATGACGCTGTAGGGGTGGGGGTGGGGTTCTTTCTGTTACTAAGCAAAGCAGAGATGTGGAAACACATATATAAACGGAATGCACATATATTATTGCATTAAAAGGATATAGTTGTGTGCATAGAATAACTAATGATTAACTAGACTAGAATCATGTAATTCTTATGTCCGATATTCATCGTTTTCTGAGGTGTTTGTATTAACGATTGCTATCTAACACCTTGGGGATGTAGTTTATCAATTGAGACCAAACTGAATGCTTATAACAGAGAACAATGTATCACCACCATGCAACTCAGAAATAAAGTGTGAAAAGGTAGAGATATCTCGGATACAAACTTTCGTCTGGAATATGTTGATTTTACGATTGCGATTACACACCGTGTAAAACTAAATGTGTACGTATGACAATGTGACATGCCTTAACATTTAGTACATCATGTGTATATTTCTTTAATTTGAGATAAACGGCTGATTCCAAGCATAAATGTTATCAATTGTGCTTAAGAACGTCTTCATTTCGATGTATGTGTTTTGTCTAAAACCGATAGTTTTTGCAGTCACATGAAACATCACGTGATAAAAAGCATTCACATGTTAACAATAGATTATAGAATTATTTAGAGAACACACCTTATATAAGCACCATTGAACTGAGACGTATATCACTCACGTATGTTTACGGGGGCATGGACGCGTTCCTATGTTACGTCCCTGAAACGTCCACAGAAAACTGTTGTAAGGGAATCAAGCCCCATTCCTACTACTTATTAGGTTTTGCGTTTGTCAGTGGCGGCAAGTGGTGATATACTGTAAACACTGTTGAAAGTGACGAAAAAACAAAAACTGAGTCAAATGGTTTTGCTTTTATCACAGTCTTGTGAGGAGAAGTTATCGGTTCTACAATTCGCCGGCAGCGGTCAACAAGTCCTCAACCTAGACTTTGGAATGACCCAAGCTGGTTGTATGCAGCGTTACGACTCCACCATGGGGGACAGCGTCAACTGTAACGGCCGTGTCACCTTCAACGTCGATCGTGGTATGATGTGGTACGTGGTGGCCAACCGATGTGGCGCGATGAACGGGATTACGGTACGTGTTGCATCCAAATAATATTTCAGGTTGAATGTGAAAATAATAATGTGTTCGCACGAGAATAAGGATGCATTTATTTGCTTGTATATTTTGTTTGTTTCTCCAGGAGGTATGTTGTGGCAATCATTTAATATTTAAACCAAAGTTCATTGACCACGTTTGGGTTTACACTGGAGATTATTCTGTCAAAACGCACATGTCCATTTTCTTATATTATTGTGTATCGGTGTTCTGTGTGAGGACGAAATATTGTGTTAAAGGATGGATTCAGAGAGCATTAACCTATCATACCCTGAACCAATGTATGTTTATAGGTTCAGACAACCAGCAAACTGTTGAAATTTGTCCCTGGAATTAAAGATTAGTGACCAAGCTTTAAATTGTATACTTGATAGTGTAGCTAAAATACATTTATATCGCAAAATGAAATTTTTTTTAAAGAAAAATGTGAAGGTTTACGTCGACACCTACTGTGGAGCTTTGTTTATGTGTTCGCTAACTCATAAAAAAACAATGTACTGTAGACATTTTACTTTTATTTGTGAGACGCTGGTTTGTGAAATGTAAACTAAACTGACACTTTATAGAACGTCGTCTAATTAATGCCTGAACATGTGTAATGCTTGAACATTATTAAATATACTTGAACATTCCAGAACACTCTGGGACAATATTAAATATGCTTGAACATTTCTAAAAAAATTATGAACGTCTTTCTCTCCATCTGCAGGGCATGGACATGTGGTACTACATCGACAACATGGGCGAGATGAACAACGACCCTCGTTTCCCTATGTTCTCCGGCCAGTCAAAAGCAACGTTCACTGCCTTGACCTTAGTCCCCTTCCTTGTCCTAAAACAATGCCTCGCATAGACCTGACAGCTCCTGTGAATACAAGAAGGTTACACAAACGTTTCACATATTGACTGTCGTTCGAAAGCTAAAATCTGAACTGCGGTTTCACAGTCTTTCAAGCACTTACATCGATATGATAACAGTTGTAAGCTAAACTTTTTGAACCAGCCTCGGTCGGCCATTGTGTAACTTACATCTGTATGTGTTATTATTGTGTATTTTTGCATTTGCAAACATCTGCTTAAATGATAAATAGGACCAGTGGAGGGCTCCCATAAGGAGGCAAGGCATTGATATGATTTTTTATGTACCAAACGGTAACAAATTATTATTTTGTAAATGGCATAAACATGGGATAATTGCAGTTCCTATTAATTGTTTTATTTATTTCGTTGTATTTTATCATTATATTTTTATTTCAATTTTTTCTCTAATTTTAAGGGGATGGGGGTGTATTTGTACGTTTTCTACACATCAGTTGTTCTTATGTCGTGGTGTGGTCTACGATTTTAAGTTTTGCTACCAGATTATACATACTCTTTAGCCCAGGGATATTTAGAAGGAGGACGTCAGTTAATGCGTTTAATATGTTTGAGTAACGAAGGACCTATCCCCTGACGAGTTTTCTCAACTTCTGCAAGCTGTACCAATATTTCTAAGTTGTGGATAACCGAGTAGTTTTCCTATAGCATAATCGCTTGCCTTCAGTCGTGTGATTAGTATTTGCAGTGTGACGTCACCATCACCATGGCGACTGACTGCGGAACGGCATGGCAGCATTATACATTCATTTTGAATGTTCTTGCATTTTAATCATGAAGAACGTTCATTATTGATAGCTGAGCAATAAAAATAATTTTGACAATTCCGGGTTTATTTGTGTTTACTTTGTTTCATGTCAAAAACAACCGTTACATGTGAAGCAAATACAGTAATTATTTCACAATTCATATTCAAATACTCCCATATCCAGTTGGTCTTCACTGGCATGCTAGTAAAAGGAGTTTATGGATTCTTTCATGTTGCTATCGTAACTTCTAAGATTGTGGACCGCCTCCGTGGTGTAGTGGTTAGAACGTCCGCCCGGAGTGCGGAAGGTCGCGGTCTGATCCCCGACCGCGTCATACCAAAAGACGTTAAATATGGTACTTGTTGGTCCCTGCCTGACGCTCGGCATTAATGGGTACAACAAGGACTGGTCGGCTCGGAGTCAGTATAATGTGTCTGAGAGGGGTATTCATGCTTCACTGTGGCATGGTAAAACCAGCTTCAGTCTTGGCTAGTACAAGCAGCCGCACATACACATACACACACATGCACGTCGTCATATGAGCGAAATATTCTCAAGCACGACGTTAAACCCAATCCACAACCACCATCTAAGTTTGTGTTCGAGTAAATGACCTGGGCTCCGATCTACAAAACGTTATAGCACCACAACTACATTAGTCTATGAGTTACGATAGGTCGTAACGTTACGAACGCTTTTGTGGATCGGGGCCCTGTTTTGTTTGCTAAATGTTTGAATAGAATAACTATGGTCGTACCTTGACTGGACCGATTGTTGATCATTATTATTATTTTTGGATATTTATATAGAGCGCATAACCAGGTACTTGTGCATGCTCGAGGCGCTGGTATCTTTTCCCCTCGATCATTGGATGTCAATCTCAACGGCACATCTCATTATCAATCTCAACTCCCTGGGGAGCATACAACTCGTGCTGCCACAAGGCGCACCGGGTTAATGTGGCTTTCCCATCCTCACGAGGTACCCATTCACAGCTGGGTGGACTGGGACACATAGTCACAGTACTTTGTCCAAGTATTCTGCACGTTGCTGTACCCTCAACTAGGTGTTTGCACGTATTCATGTGGCCACAATATGGTCATATATCAACGGATTCGTGGGTTCTTTTAAGTCTACTGTACACTAGGGGTTGTGACAACACTGAAAGAGTCTGCACACAAAGCTGACTCCAAGGTTTTTACACACGGTCAAAGGTGGGCTCGATCCCGGCACCTCATACTCGCTGGATCAGTAGCCTGGCGCCTTAGCCAGCTCGCCCACCACGCCCCCTTATTCTGGAGAATTGTTAATGTTGTCGCACAGTCCATGAATGACAACAATATCACACCGGGCTGTAAATTATCATGCTTCAGGCTGCTAAACCGGTGGGTGATATCATGAGCGTGTTTGATCCTTTAATTACCCACTGTCGGAATATGTCGAGGACTTCATCATACAACAACATTCTTCAATATGATTGGTCTGTCCGAGGCTGTGAAAAAGCTAGAATATTTCTGACATTAGCATAAAACAACAGTCACCCAGTCACATACATAAACATGTGTGTTAGTTGAAACGTTCGTTCAGAAGGCGACAGTTCCACCACATGTTTACAATGAATGAAGCACCGTGTACTTTATAAGTCCATGCCAAATGAGTGAATTAGGTTTCGTAATATTCCCGTAATAGGTGAGGTGAGGTGAGGTGAAATTGGGTTTAACGTCGTACTTGAGAATATTTCGCTCATATGACGACGTGCATGCGCGTGTATGTGTATGTGCGGCTGCTTGTACTAGCCTAGACTTAAGGTAGTTTTATAGAGCTAGCCCACTGAGATACCATGCCGCAGTGAAGCATGAATGCCCCACTCAGACACATTATACTGACTCCGAGCCGACCAGTCCTTGTTGTACCCATTAATGCTGAGCGCCAGGCAGGGACCAACAAGTACCATATTTTAACGTCTTTTGGTATGACGCGGTCGGGGAATTCCCGTAATATCAGGGCGGTGTAAACCAGAAACGAGCTACAAAATGAGGAATAGAACCATGATAAGCAAACACTTTAACCACTAAGCTACCCCACCCCCCAAGTGTCGTGGGTGACAACTTTGTTGCTTTAACACAACGTTTCAGAGGAACGACTGTAATCTCAGCTCTAGAGTCTCTTTATCTACCTATATATTTGAACGTGCGGCCTTATGTACATAGTGACAAGACAAAGATTCGGTGTTCAGCGAACAGTTTGGTCATGGAAAAGGTGATGGAAGAATTGCAGATTGTCTTTAATTTCAGCAAGGGTAGTAGACAGCGATCAAGGATTTCATGTTAAAAAGGTAAATGCTGCAGTCATGTTAGATAACTCTTTATGAAATCACGGATAATTTTTAAGCAGTTTTCAGCTTGTCTGAATATGTTTCACTGATTTTAAAAAAAAACAGTCGAGAGGCAGACGCCATTTTGTTTATATGTTATATAGTCGGTAACGACCTTATCGATCTTGAAAATAGAACAAAGTGATACATATTTTGTACATTTAAGATGGCGGTAAGATAAATACGGCTCGGGTGACACTGCTACAAAAAGGCGTGCAACAGACCGTGTTACCTCGAGAGAAGCATACAACGTATGATGTAAAATACCACCATGAAACATGTTCGACTATGACTGGTTGGTCAAATCCACAATAACAACTCCTGACAGCTACTTGTAGACAGTCACATGACCGAAGAAGATGATGTCCCAAACCATCATCGAGAGGCATGATAAATGATGGTCTGCACGAATGTCCTTGCAATTCTGACTTAATTTTCTTCAGTACAGTAATTAAGGTATTCGGTACTTTAGGCCGAAATGAAAGACATTCCGGTGTGTTCGATGAAATCATGAACTGCACTGAAATCATTGATCAATTAATGACGGTATGGTAATTTCAAAAACTGATTTACATCGAACCCGGAATTACATCGGGACGAGCGGACACCTCATCTCCATGCTACCCTTTGTCTCTGATTCATACGTACACATATACTTGGGCTAATGAGATGATCAAAGTTGTGGTCAATATTATAATATTATCATACATCATATAGAAAACATAGAACGCAGTTTACTTTCAAATTTGTTAAGTGACATTAAATCCCTCAGTGTTCCATATTCTACACTCTGAGTAGTTCGAATTATGTTCTAACTAACACCTATACCTTGATGCGAAAAAAACAAAACAATTTGGATCATGTCAACACCTGATAAGTCTACTTTAAAACATATTTTTTGCATTTTTCAAAATGAAAAAACGTATTTTAAAATGTCACTTTTCGTTTGTGTATTGTGAAATAGAAACTTCCAAATGAAACAAATAAGACCTCATTCAACTTCCAAGGCCGATATTTTCTGAAACAAAGCTTGTGTTGTAGGGCGCTTTGGCAAAACGTGGGAAGATATAGTCGCCATCAAGTGTCAGTCGACTGTCATATACTAACATATCAGTCTGAACAGTCCATCCAGTCAAACTTATAATATACCAATGTACCAACTTGCTTTGTCAGTTGAGTCTGCTGGATTGTTTTGATCTCACTCACTCACTCACGCACGAAGGCACCCACGCACGCATCTACGTACAGACGCACCCACTCTCTCACTCACACACACTCACTCACTCACTCTCAGACTTACTCATAATTAAGAATATATTTATTTATTAAGAGGTATGATTTTCTAGGCATCCAGGCAATAATATAATGATAAAAATAAGTTCCATTTGTATTTGGAAGTAGACTGAAATCCGTGTAATACAATACTGATAAGAATAACTGCATTGGCATCCCATGTAATGATACATTAAGAAGTATTTATATTTGGCTTCCGTGTAATAACATAATGATAAGAATAACATTATTGGTATTCCATGTAATAACACATTAAGAAGTAAAAATAATTGGCTTCCGTGTAATGCGATAATAATAAGAAACGGTTATATTTGCATTCCGTGTAATAATACAATGATAATAATAACTCTATTGGTAATAATACATTAAGAAGTAATTATAATTGCATTCTGTGTAATAACATATTGATATTTAGTTTTATTGGCATTCCGTGTAATAATATATTAAGACGTAAATATAATGGCATTTCATGTCGTTATATGATAACATGAAAAAAAATATATTTGCATTCCATGTACCAATATATATTGCGAAGCGGTTTTAATGGCACTCTGTGTAAATAATAGATTAAGAAGAAATTTCACTAGATAAAAGAAATTTTATTGAAATTTAATGACATGAACGAGCAAAGTTTTGGGGGGTTTTGTATTCCAAGTTGTAATATTACAGAAACAGCCGAACGTAAAACTGCTGAAAAACGTCAAGCGACCAGTAGACGTTGTCATAACGACACAAGGTCTTACACTCTTCAAAAAAAGAAACGCATAGGTCAAAATATGGAAATGTATTAAGCGTATTTAGGTGTGCATAAATCGATTAAGCTTGAACATAGATGGAGGAAAGTGTCTTGCAACGACTGACTGGGACTCCCTGCTTCCAAACGTCCAGTGGCGATATTTCAGTCAGCAGTATTCAATCTTGGCATTTGTGATCTGCGTCTGCGTCTTAAGTTTCAAAATAAAATGATGAATTTGGTTCGGCCGTTTATAGTCGATGTCTCGACTCATGTGTCCAACACATGCACGTGCACTACGTGGAAAACTCCTTCTGCATGCACATTGTTTATGACAAACGATAACAAACACGTTTTGGGATGCGTTTGCGCGCAATAGACAACAACCAAGACACGATTAACGGGATTCAAACAAAGGAATTGACTTAATGACGATCGCTGTCAAAATATATTGAAATAAACTGCTGAAAACGCCCATACGGGTTTATTTAAGAGTGTACTTATATAAGAAACAGTAACATTACACAAATCTTAGTGTTTTAAAAGACCACAGACTGTCAAGATACCGCTTCGTGTCATTTTTCCGTGTCCTCCTCATGACGCCACCATGATATATAATCATGGAAACTCCGAACCGAACCTATGTTTTCCGCGTGATGAGCGAACGCTTTCTCCACTAGACTCCACCACCCTTCTTGGTGATTTGCCTGTAAATATAACGCCAGGGAATAACTAGTCTAGATAATCTGCAGATTCTGCTTATTCCAGCTCCAGTAAAGGGCAAGGTAGTGGTATAAAGTACATGAACAGTTCAGTTAAAGTCTGTGAAAGCATATGCTGCCCTACCAATAAGGCTAGTCTGTCATACAAAACCTGAGACAAATATACCAAAGAAATCCCATATAGGTCTAGAATATGTGGCAAGTCTAGATTACCAGCTTCTAAAAATGAAAAAAGTCAATGGACTCTTTTTCATTATATTTTATGATAATAATTTTAGGGAACGTTTTTTCTGTAAAATATGTTCATGTCAGAGACTAGATGTTGGTCTACGGAAAGGCATATATCAATTCTTGTTTGGATGTGTATATACCGAAACATACACAAGGCCACCTACAGGTAAAACAACAATAACATCTTAGGTGTACTGACGTGTTAACTTTCAAGCACAACATAAAACTACTCTACCAATCATAACAAGCTTGTTTGTATCTAATTGGACAGGGGCAACGTTATCAATCCAACAAACAGTCTTATTATTTGACATTCACATACCCAGCCTGATTTTGTTGACAATAATTTGACAGCAACTCTTTCATGCGATACATACAAATTAGTTATTAGCAGAGCATTCGCTACACATGACAAAACTGTTACATCTTACAAAGGAAGTGTTGACTTTTCACGTAGAATGTTGCCTTTATAAAGACGGGTCGCTTGAAGACGCCACATTTCGGGATCAACTTTGAAACGTCAAGATGGCCGCTGTCTTTCTCTCCATGTTGTGTGTCCTCTGCTTGTCATCCTTCACGTCGGCTACTTACAAAGTCGCTCAGCGTAGGCTCCAAACAGCTAGTGTAAGTATCTAATATACATTGATTATGTCTGGAAGATTAACTTTCCGGCCTGAAATTCTCCCAACGTCTGGAATGATGAAGGTCTTATGTTTCGTATGATAGACTGAGGTAAAAAAGAAAGTACACGTTAGGTGTTTGGGCAGTACTTTCCACGCCGGAATGTTTTGCAAAGTGTTTGGGTCGTGACAGTAATGTATTTGTTACCAAAACACCACAGATATCGAACCCAAATGCATCGTTGCTAGCACCTCTCGTTCCTAGCCAATCATGGACGATTGTACACTCTTGTACTATGATAACAGATGGAAGCAGCTTGGAGTGAACTCGAGACACGGTAACTGAAAGTTTAAGAAACGTACGTTTAATAGACATCAGTCATATTCATCAGTTGCTTAGAAATGTTTTATAGCACCAACGTTATGTGAGTATTTGTGATATATATATTCACATTAAAGGTAGTACAATTGTCTGCAAGGGTCTGTTCTGAAGCTTATTGCGCTATATGTATTATGCAGTTTTCAAAGTCCTCCAATGATTGCTAAATGGCCATGCTTTATAAACGTAAGTCCAACAACATTATGGGACCTACTGTGGCCGAATGTGAACGGAAATACTGTTTTTGAGATAGATAGGGTCAGTTGATTGCATGTAATGATTTATTTCTATTGTCTCATAAACAATGATGCTTTTATTTTCAAACTTCGTGGTGGACGATTATGTGAACTGTTCTGTTGTGGCTACGTTCTTGCCTGCCATCTTGTGAAAAACGTGAAAACGTCAATGATTGGACCTGCAATTTGTCAAATGTGAAAAGTTTGAATTGGTCGCTCTTCATATTACAAAACTTCTATGTTCCTATATCCCTTCCAGGACTGGCAGTTGATCGACACGTGGACTTTCGATTCCGGCTACGTTCGTTTCAACTACAACGTCACGTTTCCTCGGGTAAGAACGCACCAATAAATAATAAATATTTCCACCTGTATGTGTCAGTGAAGTTCTCACAGATGAACAATGAACGATGCAACCGCTTTTCGTAGAAACACATTCGTGATGAAGGAAGCGGGGTGTAATATCACACTTACATTATGTTAATGAATATAAGGACTTTTGTCTAAATTTATAAAAAAAACAAACATGTAAGTTAAAGAAAAATCCAGGTACCGTTGAACTAAATAGTTTAGAAACAATGGAGTCAGAGTGAGTGAGTTAAAATGTAACGTCGCATCGGCGTCTTTTCAGCCATAAAGCGACACCAAGCTGATACATTTACACATTAACAAGTGAATGAACACAAACACAGTGTTATATTCAAAAGCACATCCATTGTACGAATTCAAACATAGCAATATTTGTATAACTGTTTAAAACACGGGTTATAAGCCAACAAAAAACAAAGTTGGCCAATTGGCTGGGTATCATGGAGGGCTTACAGTACCCCGGCTTCCTGAAAAAGCCGGGGTGTGTAGGATGTCGCGATAAGCGCACGACGGTTCCAGTCGTTCATGTCGCGGCAATACGCTGTCCATCGCTTCCGATATGATCAAATGAATCGATTTATGGAAATAATTTCTTTTGAATGATCTACTACTATTAATATATTGAACGATCTAAGTCCTATTAATATTTTCTTTCCTTTCAGAGTTATAGCCCCATGAAGTTCCTGTTCTACACACAGGACCAGTTCTTCCAGGCTAACGAAGGAACCAAGGTGAGTCTGCTGCAGTGTATGGGAGTATCAGTCAACTGCACCCTGTTCTGTTCTATACTCGTCTTTGTTCTGTAAAGTGGGGATTGTTTTACGCCGCTTTTAGCCATATTACATGCCGATCGCCAGGGTTCGATTCCCCACAACGTGTGCAGCCGATTTCCTGTGTCCTCCGCCGTGACATTGCGGGAATATTGCTAAAAGTGGCGTAAAACCCAACTCACTCACCCACTCACTAGCTAGCTATAGCCATATTACAGGGTTCGATTCCTCACATGCACAATGTGTGAAGCCAGCTTTTATCAATATTCCAGTAATATCACGACGGGGGACACCAGAAATGGGCTTCACACATTGTACCCATGTGGGGAATCGAACCCTAGTCTTCGGCGTCACGAGCGAACGTTTTAACCACAGGCTACCCCACCTGGTAAAATATAAGAGTTTACCTCACAATGGAATAATGTAAGAAAATATTTAGGCGACACCACTTTGCCCAAACTAATATTAACGATGCATGATGACGGTTTAAGTATCCTGCCTGTGTTCAGAGTTGTGTCCCTTACGTGTGACAGGAAACTATCATCAATGATTTGAATCGCGCTTCGCCCGGATTCTGTTTTAGTCTTGTCCGTAACGTATCTGTCCATTATTATACGAAAGTGTTAAAACGTTTAGGACATCCATTAACGCTTTCCTCCAACTCAACTGACGTAGTTCCCAAAGTGGCATTTCACAACTTGATCATCCATCCCTGTACATTTCCTTTATATCACAGTCTTGTGAGGAGAAGTTGTCGGTTCTACAATTCGCCGGCAGTGGTCAACAAGTCCTCAACCTTGACATTGGAATGACCCAAGCTGGCTGCATGCAGCGTTACGACTCCACCATGGGGGACAGCGTCACCTGCAACGGCCGCGTCACCTTCAACGTCGATCGTGGTATGATGTGGTACGTGGTGGCCAACCGGTGCGGCGCAATGAACGGTATCGCGGTACGTACTACACCTTTTCCAGCTTTTGACCAATGTCAGAACGATGTATATACACATGTTCATATCTATTTCATTTACCGGATGGGGGTTGCAGATAATTGATAGTTGGATTCAGCGCTTTGGCTGCAGCGCTATACGATGTGTAATACGTAACACTATGGAATGCTGAGACTTGAATCTAGATGAACCATGTGACGATCCATTGGTTCCATCCCAGAAATACAACATTGGACAACTCGCTGCGCTCTTGCTAGAGTTTTGGTTTGCTTGTTGTTTTACGCCGCACTCAGCAATATTCCAGCTATATGACGGTGGACTGTAAATAATCGAGTCTGGGCCTGACAATCCAATGATCAACAAAATGAGAATCGATCTATGGAGTTGGGATACGATGACATGTGTCAACCAAGTCAGCGAATCTGACAACCCGATCCCATTAGTCGCCTCTTACGACAAACATGGGTTGCTGAAGACCAATTCTAACCTGGATCTTCACGGGTGCTCTTGCTAGAAAGTCCTTCAGTTATGTCAGAGACTTCTAAATCACAATGATCCTGATACAGTACTTGACAGCATCATGGTCCTCAGCATCATCACTTCCGATGTTGTCCCCATCGGGCTTTCCAAAATGGCCCAACTGAAATACTTGTCTATGCAGTGTACATTCAAAACCTCACCACACTCATAGACATGACTTGACGACTCGTAAAACATGTCACATTTGGGATTGCACATTGCCAAGTACATTCTATTACATATCCTTGGGTGAAAATGAAAGTTCGTCCCCTGTTGCCTAGATCAAGTACTCTGTATACCCCTCTGACAGGTGTACATCATCACAGCATCCTTAGGAGAAAAATACATTTGAACAGACAACACCAAATTACCAGAATTTGTACGTAACTAAGAAAGTATATGCCAAATTATGTTGTTACATCATGCCTATTTGACCTATTACGACCACTCTTCGTGTTCAGTTAAATGAAACCAATTTGCTTGCTGCATGATCTCCAGGAAGTTGAGATTGATAATGCGATGTGCCGCCTGAGATTGACATCCAGTGATTGAGGGAAAAACAAAGCGCCTTTGAGCGTCTGAGCTGGATATTGGCGCTATGCAAATATTAACATAACAGCAAAGATTATAATTCTTTCCACGCAGACACTATTCATCATACAATATTTATATTATGCATACATAATCGCAAGTCGTTATATGGATGCATCTACTACTTCAATTCAAGAGGGTATTTAACGGTCTTGACCATAACGTCTTCCTCTCCAACTTCAGGGCATGGACACGTGGTACTACATCGACAACACGGAGGAGAGGGAAGGGGAGACAACCCGGTACCCTGTCTTCCCAACATATTCCGGCCAATCAAAGGCCACGTTCACGGCCTTGACCTTGATTCCTTTCCTTGTGCTGAAACAGTGTTTAGCCTAGTGCAAGTTGATCTTCTACATGTATTTGAGAGTGAACATACTCCAAATGTCTCTTCACATTGATCTGTTATTGATATATAAAGAGAGCTCCAATCTGCTTAACCCATCCATGCATGAGAACGAAGACAATGGTTCCCTGATTTCGTGAAACGTTTCTGAAGCTAAACAATAATTAAGCTGAAAGAGACCGAGTTAATTTTGACAGGTACATCAACTGGACATTTTTAATTTTCGAAGTAAAGATCATTTTGTACACAGGATAATATTTATGTTAATGAAGGCCCTGCCCCTGGACTTTGAGTGATATGCAATGATATATAATGATATATAATGATATATAGTTATGTACATCCCACACCTTGTGTATGCAAATGTAGCTGAGATGTTGCAGTGTGACGTCACCGTTGCCATGGCGACTGACTGCTGAACAGTATATCTAATACTCCGTATTTCGTTCTTGTGGCTGTGCATTCACGTCACGTATTAGAACGATATAGTGTAATACGCCAGTAAATGAAAATAAAAGCTATTTTCCTTACAACTGTCGATGGCCTTTTATGTTGTTCACACTCAATTTCAGTACCTTCAAGGGTAGAAAGAATACACTTGAGATTTGGTCGTTTACAATGAAGATGGATGAATGGAATTTGTGAAAAATATTTTGCCACAGCTTTTACTATAAGGAAAACACTTCGAAATGTTTGCATGAAAACGCGTGTGTGAGTGTGTGTGCGTGCACGCTCGTGTGTGTCTGTGTGTCTGTCTCCACGTGTGTGTCTCATAACGTCAGCTGAAGTGGCTTGTATATTTTATCAGTACTTATATGTTAGTGAGTGAGTGAGTGAGTTTAGTTTTACGTCGCATTCAGCAATATTCCAGCTATATGGCGGCAGTCTGTAAATAATCGAGTCTGGACCAGACAATCCAGTGATCAACAGCATGAGCATCGATCTGCGCAATTGGGAACCAATGACATGTGTCTACCAAGTCAGCGAGCCTGACCACCCGATCCCGTTAGTCGCCTTTTACGACAAGCATAGTCGCCTTTTATGGCAAGCATGGGTTGCTGAAGACCTATTCTACCCCGGATCTTCACGGGTCACTTATATGTGAGTGCAATATGTACATATAAGGTGAGACTTCAATAAAATATTATGTTTGTCTGTCTGTTTATGTGTGTCTGTATGTCTGTGTGTCTGTTTGTATGTGTGTATCTGTGTGTGTGGGAGAAAGAGAGAAACGGAGAGTGAGGGAGTGTGTGTGTGTGTGTAAAAATGCAATGTTTAGCAGTACACGATCAAATCCGCCTGTCAGTGAAAATGTCGGTCCAAGTGACTTATTCCAAGCACAAACTCCTCGCATGCACAACACGTACGTCTATGATATACATGTGTATACTCCTGACTGGGAGTGATTACCATTGTGTCGAATGTCACATCATGTCACTAACACAATAACTGAAGGGAGTTGGTACATTCACAAACTTATGTACAATCAGTAAAATCAAACAAATGTATTTGTTTGCCATGGACAACCGTACATACACTGAAGACTGCGTGTCTTGTGAACCATCAATTGGATTCAAAACAGGCCGCCGTGCATTTATAGACATATACTGCTGATTAACTGCGGTATTAACACATTCACTCACTGTAGCTAAATACGTTCAGACAAGCTTGATACAGTATTCTCGAATATTCGAGGTGAATATTCGAGACGTTTACTTTGGAAAAGATGAAGTGAAGTCTAACCATTGTCATGTCGTGGCATTCGAGTTTTTAGTAGTATACCTGGATTTGCAAGCGTCCTCTTGCTCCAACTATAAAATACAGTACAACGTTGTACTTTATTACATTACATGGGGTGGAGTGAACTGTTTCGTTTTTTCTCAATAATTACAACTTTAAATCCTGTCTATCTAGTCATCGTTGTCTGGCAACAAACGGGCATCATACGTCATTGAGCATATTGCACTCAGCAATAGTTCATCTAAATGAGGAAAGCTGTAAAAACCTTAGTCTGGCCCAGACAATCCAGTGATTGATATCATGAACATCGATGCATCTATCAGTGAGTCTGTTCTTCTATTCCGTTAGTCGCCTAATACATGCATAGGTTGCTGGACATCGGACCTCCACAGTCACATGTATTGTGGAAGTTGTCTCATGATACATAATGATACATAATGTATAAATTAGTTAGAGTACCCACTCATGAGAAGACACGGGTTCCATTCCCCACATCAGTAGTGTTGGGAATTGGTTAAAATCTCATAATTGATGATTGGTTCATTACCACCGATCAATCATCGAAAATAATTGGTTAGCGTCATTTATGAAATTTGTTAAAGCACAAAGAAATAAGGAAACAAACGTAGTTATTTGGGTTTTTTTGGCAAAATTCACATCTTTAAAGGATGACTAGTATGCTAGGAACATAAATTTCTTGGTGTCTTTAAGATAAATTCAATCATGACTTGGAACGAGCTTGTAGTGCTTATGAAATGTAACAGACAAAACCAACCTTGTGAAACATATTGTTGATAAAAACAAGTGTTCCAGAATTGTTTGTGTTCGATTATGAGAAAACATGATCGATTGCTTGGTCGTTTAGTCACTGCGACCAATCTTCGATTATTTCAATTAATCGGACCACCACTACACATCAGTACAATGTGTGAAGCCCATTTCTGGTGTCCACCGCCGCGATATTGCAAGGATATTGCTAAAAGCGGCGTAAAACCATACTCACTCACTCATGAGCCTCGGTAAATTAGCTCATATACCTTTGACATTTACGAAAACATTGGACGAACGCTAAAACGTTTATGTTTTGATATCCACGACCACTGCTATAAAGACTGAATGACTAAACAATTAGTCCAATAAACCCATGTTCCCAGTAGTGGCATGTTATACTGATACACAATTCCACCACCATAGCAGGATCTGATGACTTGTAGTCCCAACCCCCTCGTATTTTCATCATTTAGCTGTTATGCTGTGACAAAACAAAATGCTTTTAAGTGTCAAACTCAGTATTCTCTCTCCTTAATGCAATCATCAGGAACTGTAGGTCATCTTGATGTTTTGTCCTTCGGATCAAGGGGTCTTTTCAAGAGGCGATCGATTGGGTGTGTAAATGCCTTTGTGAGCCTCGATGGAGGTATTGTTTCACCATAGCCAACGTGAGTTAAAGTGATCTGTCTGTATACACTCAATCATAAAAAGAAATGCAAATAAAGCTGTTTATTCATTAACAGGCACCAAAAAAATAAATAAACATCATTTCTATACAGTATAATGTTATACTATTATACATAAATGATCGTGCATGACTACAATCACATGTGATCACACAACAGTGGCGAACATGACATGCGTACACATAATCATTCACATAAAGCATATTCAATACCTCTTCTCACAGATCAACCACACAATAGTCAGTTCTGCCTCTATGCCCAACAACATTTCACCAGACCTTCTGGGGAACAAAAGAACATGTTGTTTCTGCTAAAGATCAAAGAACGTCATATGGTTCTTGCTAAGAATGTTGTTTGATCAAGATTACAACATTTAAGGACTTAGTTAATCTTTCAAAGCGTTATGGGAGACATGTGGAGGGCAGTTCAAAATGTGCAGAGAAGTGTCAGTTGTAAGTGTGTTTTGATTATAACAAAGTTCATTAATCGAAACTACTAAGACAAATTTAATGCAAGAAACTATGAAATTAGTCTGGTATCTGTAGAAACAGCAATCTGGTAGCACTAAATTTGGTACCATGAATGGGTGTGTTCATAATTGTTTTGTGACCAGCAACAAATGCGTTACTTGATAGAGTGATGGGTCTTAACCAACTGTATAAAGCTGCATTGAACATTGAAACTGGTATTTAAATAACAATCTAAACAAAACTGTGACACATGATCCAGAAATGTGAGACCAATTTCTATATTCAAGAATTGCATTCGTGCAATAAATTGGTGAGCCGTGTTGTGCAGTGCTCTAAAAACTAGTTCGGGTTTGTCACATTTGTGCCACTATTTAACCTTCTAGCATCCATTTTACAGGCCGCTTTCGAACCTATCTGGAGTAATAATCCAGTTGTGTCACCTTGTGTTTGTTCAAACTTGCCTTGGTCACCCAGAGCAAGTGTAAGTCTTGACTATTAACATGGAAAATTGCGTTTTGTTATAATGTGCCTTGTATATACACAATTATTATTATTATCATAGTATTAGTATTAATCATTGTAATATGCATCCGATTACTTCGACGTCAGAAGAATTTAAAAATGTTACCTGTTGAGATATTTTGTTCGCCTGTTGAGACATTTTTTCCTTCCTATGACTCTTTCCTAATATTATAAAGGGATTTTTAGCATTTTAATTCAATATAGTATGCAAAATGTTATACATGTATCTATATAGGAGCTGTTCTATATGCAAAATGCACTCATGCCTTGATATCATCCGGTTTCAGCTCTTTTCAATCATTACCTAATAGCCGGCCTCCTATTTAACTACTTCCGGTTTGGGTATTTCCGGTTTGGTATTTCCGGTTTTGAAACTTCCGGTTTGGTTGCATTTCCCGTTTCGATCCCATGCGCGCTCTCACCCGCAGACAAGCGAGCCAAGACAGGGTCGGCCTTCCTTCTGACAACAACCAGGGTTATCTTCGCACTCAGAGCAACAATAGCTACCCCCAACAGCACAGCCGCGAAGATGAAGTTTGTAGCATTCGTTGCAGGCAGACTGACAAGGATACCGATCAAGACCCATAAGATGACAGCGTAGGGGGTGAAGGTGTAGCGGGAGTACTTGTCCAGGACAATCAGATCGGTGATGCTGTAGACTACTAGGAAGGCTGCGATGAAGGCGAGGACCACAGAGGAAGCAGTTGCCTGGTTGATGGTTGGATCAGATCGGTAAACCATCAAGACGGCCATCGTGATGAAGGCAGCCATTGAGGTCCATGTAGCGTACAAGGCTATTCCATTCTGTACCAGCCCTCTGATGAGAGCGTCGTCCACCCTGCGATGTTGTTGGACTAGAACGGTTCCGTGCTGGTACAGAGCTATGTAGGACAGGGCCAGACATCCGAACAGAGCTACGGATATGAGAAGCAGAGCAATGAATGACACGGTTACGATGTCCGTGAAGGCTACTGAGTTGATGATGATCTGGAGTACAAGCGCCACGATGTAGATGCCCAGGAAGAGGGGAGTCAGCAGGACTGGATGGGGGCTGGACCTACACACAAGGATCAGGGAGTAGATGATCCAGCTGACCTGCCAGGAATAGACGAACCAGGCAATGACCAGTGTCCAGCGGGCTGGGTAGACGTCTAACACGGGGACATGGTCTTGCAGTGCTGGAACTATGAAAATATATACGTCGTTAAGTCGGAAATTATTTATTATTATTTTATAATATAATCACAGAATATGTGAGGCTTTAAAACCATAACAATACACGCACACTATTGACAAGGAACACAGATCTATTTGACGCCATGAAGGCACAATTGTTAATGCAATATAACTTCTTGCAATATAAAGAGTTATGGCAGCCATTATTAAAGATGAGTCTTTTTGTTAGTTTCTTGTCATGGTAAAGAGAGACAGCCGTACTGTTTTTGCCTCGGCTATCCAATACGTTGGCTAGTAAAGACAGTATCAAACCCGAAGGTGTAACTATAGTCAAACACTGTTGTGTCGAAGCTGAAGGAACCTCCGTGAACACTTCGACTTGTCCGAGGTTCGCCACACATTCAAAATAACACTGTCGAAGTACGCAGATACGAAGCTTTTAATTCGAGAGAACCATATGTTCGACACATCAAAGTTTGTTCGGCATATCGGTATGCGACTATATACTGAAACTCGTCTATGATCCCTCGCTCTCTGTACCTCGATCATGGCTGTATACGCCGGCGATGAAGACGGTGATGGCAGCAATAAAGAGGACGACGATGGCGGAGTTGAGCGCCAGCAGTTGAACGTACAGCTTGTTCATTTTGGATTCAGGGTCTCAAGAGCAACAGATGGCATGAGTGTATTGCCGCTTCAGCGATTATCCGTAAAAGACTGCTGAAACAATAACGAAAACATATGACTGTCTGGTGATGTGAATGAAAATGTCAAGCAATCCGTAAATCCGAAACATCCTGAACATAATAATAATCATCAGAGATTAAAATGTCAAGCAATTCTTAAACCTGACACATCCTGAACATAATCATCAGAGATTGAAATGTCTAGCAATCCTTAAACCTGACACATCCTGAACATAATCATCAGAGATTGAAATGTCAAGCAATTCTTAAACCTGACACATCCTGAACATAATCATCAGAGATTTACATGTCAAGCAATCCTTAAACCTGACACATCCTGAACATAATCATCAGAGATTTAAATGTCAAGCAATTCTTAAACCTGACACATCCTGAACATAATCATCAGAGATTGAAATGTCTAGCAATCCTTAAACCCGACACATCCTGAACATAATCATCAGAGATTGACATGTCAAGCAATTCTTAAACATGACACATCCTGAACGTAATCATCAATCATATCAAGCAATTCTTAAACATGACACATCCTGAGCATAATCATCAGAGATTTAAATGTCAATCAATTCTTACACCTGACACATCCTGAACATAAAATCAGAGTTTAAAATCTCAAGCACTGTTTAAAACGACATCTGCTGAACGTCTTCATCCATCATAAAGTCTTAAGCTCTACATACCCCTGCATATATCGTATACATATAATCAACATTTTCATCACTCTTGATACACCCTGAACATTACCATCCAACATAAATATAAATACAAATACAAGTGTTCCTTTATTCTTTTCCAGGTTTCTTTACAAGGTATGTATTGCACTGTGAGTGAAATTCTCGAAACAAATAAAGGAACACGTGTACCTCCATGTGTTCCCTTATTAGTCTATGAGCATATCTTAAACTCTACAGACACCTGACACATTCTGAACGTTCAAATCAAACTCCTTACACATTTCAATGCATTTTAATTCGTTCGGTCATCATCGAAACCGTGAATATGGATACTAACTCAACAATAGAAGTAATTTGACAGCTTCCCCGGAAAATAAAATAAAACCTCAAAATCTGAAAAGTTCAAAGGAAAATTAAAATGGACTGTAATAAGTTTAAACAAAGATATTCAGACATACCATCCCACATAGACAGTCTGTTGGATACTGACTAGAAGCTGCGCGCTTGAAGTTTAACGAGTGAGGTTCAAAACACCCACACCCACACCCACTTTTCAGGCAACATTGGGCAATATTTAAGCCGGTTTCACAATATGTCAACCGTCCCCGTCGGCGTGAAGATCCAACGACATACCAACAAACCCATCTCCCAATGCGAAGTTCATAAACAGATTTTAATGTAGTATAACCAACGTTTTGGTGCAGAGTAAATTCTATACTCACAGTACACTTACTTCTCCTGCAGCTGCCTGTGGTCCCGACTTCAGATGCACACTGATCCAGGAGTACGAACATACAGCAATGTTAAACTACATCATTGCCGATTTGTATTCCAAAGGCGAGAAATGAAAATAAACAATGTCACACCAAGCACTAATATATATAACACTGTTAAAATCATAGCACATTTATCGCAAGTTAATCCCAGGCGTGTATGCTGTGTAAATACATATATTTTAATCTGAACATGTACGACTGATCATGAAACTCGTCAGTCAGGGCTCTACTGGCACAAAAACCTTGCGTCTGGTAACGATCCATTGGTTGGTTGGTTTGCTGTGTAACGCTGCACTCAGCAATAGTCCAGCTATATGGCAGCGATCTGTAAATAATCGAGTCTGGACCAGACAATGCATTGATCAAAATCAAAAGCATCGATCTACGCAATTGGGATACGATGACATGTGTCAACCAAGTCAGCGATGGCGAATTTCGAATCCCATTAGTCGCCTTTTACGACAAGCATGGGTTGCTGAAGCCCAATTCTAACCCGGATGTTCACTGGTCGGAAGCGTTCCATATATGTAACAGTTAAAACATTTTATCAATTATTGTGTATAATACCCGACCATTTCAGGAGCTATATGTTCCTCCTGCTTCTGTTAGGTATAGCATAATACCTGACGCTCTCGGGTATTATAAATACCTGAAGGTATATCTTAGATTTTAGGCATAATATTTGAAATTAAATAAATAAGAATAGAATTATAACACCAACACTTCTTAATAATTTTTCATAATCATTACAAATATATATGACGGACAAGGTGTTTGGCTCAAGCATTCATAATTATTACACACTAGGAACGGTCAATTATTTTATTTTTTATTCATGTTTATGTCATATATTTTATACACATTTTAAACGCATTTTAAACATGCTAAATCCATATTTTACACATATGTTATATATGCTCTTCAAAAAAAGAAACTTGACATAGGGAAAATATGAATTTAGGAAAATATTTGACACAAACCAATCCGTGCTGAATCCCAGCATGTCGGGGAAGGGTTGCCGACAACAAAACGTTTGCAAAAAGAAACGTTTAACAAAAACGTAATGTTACAGTCACGTCTGTAACGAATCGCTAAAACGCACCTTACATGAAGCACGAGCATCATGAAATTGTATATCACCCTGAGCTGAAGCCTATGACTGTAGGCTTTAAAAACCCACATCAATGGTACTACACATGCATTGCTTTAAGCCACTATAGACGACAAGAGAATGAAAAAACTGATAGAAGCTCAACGATACAACGCCATCGGCCGTTTACAAGGACGGACGTCGCAGCAAGATGTCGCAAGGCACTTCAGCGTGCCCAGACGGACCATCTCAAACCTATGGACCCGATACAAAAATACTGGGAGTGTTAATGACAGACCCATGCTACATTACATGCTACAGACCCAGGATTGCTACATCCGGTTGAGACATTTTCGTTTAAACACCACGGCCACATCATCCACAACAACCCAAATCCCTGGACTGCTCCGAATCTCCGACCAGACAGTGCGCAATTGGCTATGGAAAGTCAGACTTTTTGCCAGAAGACCAGTTCAACGTCACGTCGTTCCCTACATCAACGTGATCTTTGGAGCATGACCATGCTCGACTTCACGTTGCACGTGTTTGACAGGTCTTCCTCCATCAAAACAATGTTCAGGTGCTACCTTGGCCTTCTCGATCAACCGATTTGTCCCCCCACTGAACATCTATGGGATACCAACTGTGTGCAGCGTAATCCGCCACCTCAGACACTACAAGAACTGCACACAGCACTTCAGCAAGTGCATCAAAACATTCTTCAAGACAGCATTCGGCATCTCCTTTCGTCTATGGGTCACCGCTGCCAATCTGTTATCGATGCTCATGGTGGTCACACCAGATACTGACATTTCACTCTGACCACTTGGCTTTAATAGCCCTCTGTGGTTTTACAAGATAATTTCTCGATAATCACATTTTGGAAATTTGTAAAGTGATGATTTTACTGTAACTGAGCAATGATGTCATGTTTGAATCAATTATATGCACTCAGTAAGTAAACTCCAAAACGGCATGTAAAGTTTCTTTTTTGAAGAGTATATATTACCAACCTTTGACACAGACATACATATTTTACACATATTTCAAAACATTTTACACAGATTTCATAACATTATACACACATATTTTATAATATTGTACACAAATGTTATAAATTTGTATTCAGATTTTGTAATATTCTACACATATTAAGAGGCTCCATAATATTGTATCCAAAAACTGTTGATGCTGTTTACTTTTACTGTATATACATTCTCTCAGTGACTATACGTTTTCGTAGTCTAGATATGTTGTGAAAACAGTCATAGCATCTTACCTTGCCAATAACGTCATCTTAGTGCCCCGCTAAGAGTACCAGTTACGCATTATCTTGTGACTAGATGCACGGCAGGATAAGATGTACAATAAATGTGAAAATAGCAACTGAGCATCTCTGATTGCAATCTCTCAATGGACCGAGAATGGAACCAGACTGCACTTTGATACCCGTTGAGTATGTTTATATATTATCTTCTTGTGTATCATATTGTTCTACTGATGGACACATTACCTTCTGTCCGCTACTGTCTATGAAGAGAGACTGGTCACAGTCTATTGCGCTATCATATATACCAGTACAGGTGTCATAATACCTTAATCTGTACTCTACTCCTAGTCACGGGTGCGACCGTAACCAAACTCGCCCGTTACAGGAAGGAGGGAAGCTCAGGAATTTTAAGAAAATACCTTTTTCAATGTCTGCAAAACTGACAATTTGAACTACGCAGTACGAATCATATAGAAATACCACACTGAACATTAATTTTGCTTACATTACTCTAACGCAGAGCATGTTTTACAGACACATAGTCTGTACAAGTCCACAGTCACGTGTATGCATGTTGGTTTTGAGTAGGCATACGGCAACCAGTGATGACATAAAACACATAATTTATTCCGAGAGTTGACCTGAAGCCGACATGACATACATAGCGTGTATTTAATTAGTACTCACATTGTTAGAGCTGGTTCATCTGATTATGAGCCCTCATCACATTAAAAGTACCTACGACCAGTTCAACCCATCTTCGTATTTCCAGGGAATTATAAACCTTTATAATCTGTTAAAAAGCCTGGATATGTGAACATGCATGTGTTGGTGCTGTTTCTTGAAATTTGATTTCTTTACGAGGATACTGACTATAAGATACATGCAGTGTTGTCTGTCATGGCTAATCTCGATTTAAAGTCTTTCAGTTAAATACATCATTGTTAACTTTCAAAACTGATAATATATTCTAGCCATAAATTATCGTTTCAAATATTGTTTTGAAAAGACTTGAGCTGTGACGTTTTTTTGCGTTTAACCCAGTCACACGCTAGACTATCTTTACCACTACACATTTCATTAAAGCATTGTGATTTTGCTTTTGAATTATTTTTTGGGGATGTATTTATGTAGAAAACAAACAGTTTTACAAAACCTTGTAGATTCTCCTAATCATCATTGTTTTCGATTTTCGAAATATGTTGCTTGTGATTTATCCTAAATTATTTTATAACGCTTATTTTCGACACAGACTTTTAGTTTTAATATTGTGGGAACATAGTGTATGTAGGCTCGTTATAACAATCAGCACCTTGTGTCAGAAGGAAGGTGCCACATCTAACTAACGGGAATGCTCGACGAACCGTATTTGACATACTGACGCACCAGACCAGGTTTGACAAAGGTTCGTACGGGAACACACATATCGCAGCTCTTCTTTAGCTTGAACCTCTGGCATATCAACTGAATATGCTAACATAACAGTTTTAACACGTGTCCTAATTAACCCTAAACACTTGTGTTTCATGTTTGCATATGAATATAACCAAATACATGTACTGAGCACCCATTTTGCGATGGTGGGACTTGGTTTTAGCTGCTACAGCGATGGACATGACGTTGGCAGCAATTTAAACACCACGAGTATGACAACAGTTAAACAACACGCTGGTCTATTTGGCTGCTTAAATGTGGGTTAAACAACGCTCTGGTCCATTTTGCTGCTTAAATGTGGGTTAAACAACGCTCTGGTCCATTTTGCTGCTTAAATGTGGGTTAAACAACGCTCTGGTCCATTTTGCTGTTTAAATGTGCTCTGGTCCATTTTGCTGCCTAAATGTGGGTTAAACAACGCTCTGGTCCATTTTGCTGTTTAAATGTGGGTTAAACAACGCTCTGGTCCATTTTGCTGCCTAAATGTGGGTTAAACAACGCTCTGGTCCATTTTGCTGCTTAAATGTGGGTTAAACAAACATCTGGTCCACTGTTCTGTGCTACTTATATGTGGGTTAAACAACGATCTGGGCCACTGTCCTGCTCAAGTGTGAGCTAAAACACGCTCTGTTACTCGGCGCTAAGGTTAAAATACCTTTCCTAACATAAACCATTTATACTTTAAATCATTGCTCTGTCTGGTCTAGAATCTGTGATATACACGTCACTGAGACTTGACGAGGAAAATGCTTATTCGGTTTTGCACACATACAGTCAAACTAAATGAGGTATAATGATCGCGTATGGACATTTGTCAAAACTCATATCAAAATATGAAATATTAACAGGATGCTGCCATGTATAGGATCTAGGCAGTGTACATCCTTTGCTGTCTGACCATAGTTACAAGACCTGGTGGTATCATACATTAATTATCCTAATAGCAGTATCTGCATCACAAAACGATGGACCTATCCTCAGACGGGACTGGTACACAGGTACACACACTTGTACACACTGCACCCTAATATGTGTCGGAGGTTGGACCCCTCTGAGAGTTTTTCCTCGAACCGTCAAGAAGTAGTCGTGTTCTGTACATATAACAGCGCGTCACCAAAACCACACAACGTAAAATAATTGGGCAAATTGTGAAAGAGAATTTCAAAAAGTATGATTCGATGCTCAGTCACCTGACCGAGATAATCGTCACAACAAGCCTGTAACAGCACGGCAGTAATTGCAAGGGTGGAGACATGAGCCGAGCCGATATGAAATTGGAGAGACACCGTCGTGACCTTGGCATTGGGAAATAAAGATGGCGGGTGTGTGGCTGCTGGCTGTCTGCTGTTTACTAACCAGTGTTTCGCATATTTCAGGGAAATACGCAGAAGGATCTATTGTCTCTTTAAAGGTGAGTGCCATCCAAGGCGAAATATTGGTATTTGTTTCAACATGAAAGACAAATAATATTTTAGCAGAAGTCTGCCCTTTGGATGTACACGCTGTTCACAGAGATTACAAAAATATAACTGGTTCCTATTTCAGCGTTAACTCACAGACGGTTGAGTTTGAGGAGCACCTAGTGCATATGCTCAGTTGTATTCATCGTATAAATGCTCTAATGTTGAATCCTCGTTTTAGTGAAGTGAAATTTACATCGTTTAAGACTTTCCTCATATTCTGTCTATAAACTGAGACATTGTTTTAAGCTGATCATAATGAAACATTTGAAAACCAAACACGATAACTGAATCATGGTTCTTGTAGAATCATTTTTCGGAATCAGAGTTAATTCTAAAACGTTAGGCTAAATCCAATGCTTATAACTGTAAATGTCATGGTAATAGGTTGCGCAACATCTCTATGAACTAAACGTACTATATGTGAACCTCGTCGCATATTTAAAAGAGATCAAACTGTTTGATAAAATACCGATTTGATGTCAAAGTCAGTTTTTGTATTTTATGACATCTCTCGTCGTGAATGGCTGCAACATTGTTGATCCGGCGTTAAGCAATATTCACTTACTCTCTCGTCAGGTTGCCTTTATTATCCCGTGAGTTCAATGACTGACTGACTGAGTTTGGTTTTACGCCACTTTTAGCAATATTCCAGCAACATCACGGCGGGGGACACCAGAAATGAGCTTCACACATTTGTACCCATGTGGGGAATCGAGTGAGTCCAATGAAGCCACTATAGCAATATGACTGGTGTATCAGCTGTTCTCCAAAATGGCCTTCAAGTGGGGTTCAGGGGGTGTAATGAATGCCTTGCTGTTACATGATTGTCCACTGCAGGGTTGGGTCTTCCTCGACAGCTTTCTCTTCCCCGCCGGCGACGGTGCTTCATTCAAATACAACATCTCATATCCAAGGGTAAGTCACTCAGCCTATATGTGCAGTTATTCAGGTACAAAATCTCCCATGAAAGGACACGTAAATAACTCGGGTTCGAAACCTCTTTGAGATATAGCTACAAAATGATAAGTTCATCCACTATCCATTCACGTCAACGCTACCAGGTCACCAAATGCAAGGTTAAACTCGCGGTGAGAAGTACTGAAAAATACTAGCACAAAAAGAAACTATGCATTGGTAAAATTCTTTCTAAATTTGAAAATATAAAGAAGCGAAGATATCCTCGTGCAGTGCTCGTTCATATGTAAAGACATCGACAAATATATCACATGAGACGGTTTCAGCCTTATCTTCAGGGAGGATAAAGAGATTTTGCCTAGCAACTGTAAACCAAGCTTATACGATAGACCCGTGAAGATCCGGGTTAAAATTGATCTTTAGCTACCCATGCTTGTCGTAAAATTACCAGCGACTAAAAATGGGATCTTCAGCAACCCATGCTTGTCGTAAAAGGCGACTAACGGGATCGGGTGGTCAGGCTCCCTGACTTGGTTGACACTTGTTATCGTATCTCATTTGCGTAGATCGATGGCCATGCAGTTTATCACTGGATTGTGTGGTCCAGACTCGATTATTTACAGACCGCCGCCATATAGCTGGAATATTGCTGAGTGCGGTGTTAAAACAACAACCAAACCAAACCATTATACGTCAAACAAGGATGGTTACATTGAAGAAACATTTGTTCAAGGTAAATTCCGCATGTGTTCAACTCAAGTTTACATAAGCTTCATCTGTATCTACTAGTATTTCAGTTAAGTCTAAATTAACTTCCAATAAAGCATCCCGTCCTGAAAAACATACTTTCAGACACATTTTAGCCAATCGTAATACTATTTGTGATACATATTTCTTCAGAAAAGCCTATATGTGACTGACTCCTCACAGCTCCGCTGAACAGCATACCTAGTTTCGGTTCAGCTGCAAATATATTCAAATATATATGTGTAATTGGATTTCTTAAAGATTCACTGACCATGTGGCTTTCTCGAATGTTCTTGTATTGCAGCAATACGCTCCTTTGCAACTTCTGTTCTATGGTGGCGATCAGTTTGCGCAGGCCAACGACCCCTTCAAAGTAAGTCGTTGTAGATGAGCCAATTATAATAAACAGTTGTTTTGTTTTAAGTACATTGGAGTAACAGAATCAATGCATGCAAAACACAGCTAGAGCTGTCGAAAGCTATCTATAAGTTCTGATACATGTCCAGAAAATGTTAGACATTCAGTACTTGTAAACAGAGTATGATACTTTCATCTGATTAGATGATACTTACATGTAGGTGGGTGGCACTTTAAATCAGTAAGTCTTCATTTGCAAGTGTCGAAGTTGATTTTAAGTGTTTTGATTATAACGGTTGCTGACCACTGGAAAATTCAAATTCCACCATGTTGTGGAAAAGCAGACAAGAAACAAATATACGACCCACATGCAACAGAATATTCCAGTACAAATGTACATTTCTCTATGAAGTAGGAGCCATACATTGTTGGTGTTTAGCACCCATAAGATCAGTTGTCATCTTGTACCGGAATAGCAAATGATGTACTACCAAACTACCTATCCAAAATGAATAATGTGGATCTAACAGATGTTATATTTGGGATTACACTTTCTTAGTAAAGTACAGATTCTTGTACTTTTTTGGGCTGAGTCCCATCCGGGATTCTAACCAACACCCTCAGAGTCAGGCACCTTGTCGCCAGGACGCAAAGTCAGACGCCTAATCCGCTCAGTCACCGCGGCTTCCACAAAAAAAGAAGTCGTCAAGTGGTAGTCTAGACTCTGGACTTTGTATGCTGGCGATTAGGTGCCTGACTCTGAGGGTGTGGGTTCGAATCCCGGATGGGACACAACCATAAAAGTAATAGAATGTGTACTTTACTAAGAAAGTGTAATCCCAAATATAACTTGTGTTACATTTGACCACTTTCTAAATGCCATTGTGTATTCATATGTGGATCGTTTCAAAGCATACAGATTCAACCATTAAAGGAAATTCATGTGAAGCTAAATATATGTTACGGATGTAGCGTCCATAACATTTCCGAGTCCCCTGCTGGGATTCGAACCACGGACCTTCTGATCAGAAGTCGGACGCCTTGTCCACATGACTAAAGAGGTTAACCCTGACAAGGTAAGTATGTCATCTGTGGGATGACTCCACGCCCTGCTACACGGAGATGAAGGAGAACCAATCACACATTGTTGGACACCCAGCTCAGTATGGTTATATTCTAACCTGTCCAAGGACAGATGTCTTTGTAAGCCTGTCAAACTTCCATGTTCCAGTCCTGTCAACAGAAGATCGCCCTGCTGCAGTATCCCTCCTATTCCGGGCAGGTTCTCAGTCTGGACACCACGAAACCCAGCTCAGGATGTTACAACCGTTACGACGCCTTCAAGGGAGACTACGTCTTCTGTGTCGGGAGGTTCAACATCGACATCGACAGCAGCTCTGGGTGGTTCGTGACAGCGAACCGGTGCGGGGATCAGAATGGCTTCACTGTAAGTTGGGTAGCATGAATTTTGTTCACACAAAGTTTTACGGGTTTCAGCTTCTATATTATGAGGAATACAGTATATACATACTCTCTTATCCACCTGATGAAGAACATATTCACGAATACGCGTCGATTATTGTAAAAACACATAACCATTTCTGTATCTAATCCCAAATTTAAAGATATGTTTTTGTGTCTAATCCATGTGTTGTGTGTGACATCAACATCGTAACTCCGCTCGCCTTTGGGTATATATTTATAGTTTACTTTGTGTTGAGATTAGGGTTGGGTATTGCAGAGAATTTTCATATTGCGATATATTGCGATGTGAAAGCATATATTGCGATATGTATTGCAATATATTGCAGGAATTATTTTCGCAAAAACATACTTATAATCGAAGGAAAACCAAGTTCTATGGATAGACAACTTCTTTATTGCAATGGGTGCGACGTTTCGGTGTAGGTACTAACACCGTTATCAAGCAAGTCAAATAAGTCACTTGCTTGATAACGGTGTTAGTACCTACACCGAAACGTCGCCCCCATTGCAATAAAGAAGTTGACTATCCATAGAACTTGGTTTTCCTTCATCTATCCAACTTCTAAATTGCCTCTCAAAGAAGTTACTTATAATCGAGTTTAATGCTTGATTTACAAAGCAAAAACACAACAAAGTCACTATGCTTGATAAGGCGTTAATAAAAACGTTTAATCATGACAAAATAAAAATGTAAATAATGTTTGGCACAAATGAAACAAGGAAAGGAACAATTTAAAAAACGGAAATATCCGAAGATTTCCGAGTGTTACGAAGTTTTCCGAATGCATGATGATTGTCAAAATACCGGTTTTCGATCAGCGTATCGCAATACGTATCGTTTTCACGCCTGAACCGGTAAATATCGGTAAACCGGTTATATTGCGCAGTCCTAGTTGAGATGGTGTAAACCTTGTCGACTAATGTCAGTGAAATATGGGGTCGATCATTATAGGAATCCCAGCATATTGTTTACAATTAATCTCCAGCCAGGCTGGGCTTCTGAAAAGAGTGTCTATCTCAAATGTCCCGACAGCGTCATACCAAAAGACGTTAAAATATGGTACTTGGTGGTCCCTGCCTGGCGCTCGGCATTATTGGGTACAACAAGGACTGGTCGGATTGGAGTCAGTATACTGTGTCTGAGTGGGGTATTCATGCTTCACTGCGGCATGGTATCTCAGTGAGCTAGCACTATAAAATCAGTTTATGTCTGGGCTACTACAAGCAGCCGCACATACACATACACACGCATGCACGTCGTCATATGAGTGAAATATTCTCAAGCACGACGTTAAACCCAATTTCACCTCACCTCACCTCGATGTTTCTTGAACATGGGGTTGATGATTGTAGCGTCCTTTATCCAACTTCATTTTTATTGTATTTGCTCTATCTGCGGGATTATGGTTCTCAAGTACTCTAACATGTTCTTTCCTTTTCAGGGCTTGTATCTACAATATCGTATCGAGAGCATTGGGGGCTTGGATGACATTTTCCCTTTTCACTCAGGTCAGGGACAGGTTACTCTTCCTGTCTTGACCTTGATGATTATGGCAACCTTCGGACAGTTTGTTGTTTGAGAAACAATTAAACGGCAACATCGGACCATTTTGAAAATACTGAGATAACGGAAACCAGTACATTTTGTAATAATTGATGTCATGCACAAATATTTGGAGTAATAAACAAATCAACATTTGATTTTCTATTTTTTTATTTACATAAGTTACAGAATGTGTCATTTTACATTCGTACGTAAGTAGACGTATTTTGGCAGAGTAAAACAACATACTCACAGATTTATCCTCTCATTTTAGGTGTCAAATGACATACCAGAGAATGTGTCATTTTACCTAATATTTATTTTGTGCACACAAGTCATCTGGTATAATCTTCTGAACATACACGCCTGTGTAGTTGGTGAACATGAAGATATCCGATTAAGGAACGTTCTATGAATACTTTGCAGCAAACATGATAACGATCATTATACAGTAACAGTCAAACTTACTGACTGTCGATATTACCGATCGCGTCACACCAAAAGACGTTAAAATATGGTACTTGTTGGTCCCTGCCTGGCGCTCGGCATTAATGGGTACAACAAGGACTGGTCGGCTCGGAGTCAGTATAATGTGCTTCTCTAGGTGTATTCATGCTTCACTGCGGCATTGTAAAACCAGCTTCAGTCTGGGCTAGTACGAGCAGCCGCACATACACATACACATGCATTCACGTCGTCATATGAGCGCAATATTCTAAAGCACGACGTTAAACCCAATTTCACCTCACCAGCATCTCCACAAAAATTTTGATTGTTGGCTGCTGGTTGTGTAACGCTGCACTCGGCAGTATTCCAGCTATATGGCAGCGGTTTGTAAATAATCGGGACTGGACCAGACAGTCCAGTTCCTGACCACCCGACCCCGTTAGTCGCCTCTTACAACAAGCATGGGTTGCTGGAGGCCCCTTCACGGATTTACCCGCAAAACAGCTATGTCTGTTTTGCGTTATTTCGCCCGTAAAGGAAACTTTACACAGTTTACAGAAGCCTCGCACAATGAACTTGGCTATAACAGAGTTATCTCCCTTGGACCAGTGACCGTTTCGTTTAATGTTCGATGAATGACAGCCAGGGATAGCAGACAAAGTCTAGATAATATACTACGTGTTCATGCATACTCTGTCATATACACTTATGAACATATTTTGCAATTGCAGGCTGACTTATCGCTTAATATTAGTCACAGGGTAAGTTGGTGCGGTGGGGTAGCGTAGTGGTTAAAGCGTTTCCGCGGCACGAGGAAGACCCAGGTTCCCGGTTACAATGTGTGAAGCCCGTTTCTGATGTCCCCCGCCGTAATATTGCTGGAATATTGCTAAAAGCTGCGTAAAACTAAACTCACTCACAGGGAAATTTAGAAAATTGCACAAGCATTTGTTTTTTGTGGTTCAAAGACTCTGGAAAGCTAGAGGGAAGTTTCTGTCCGAGGGCCAGTGTCTCCAGGTCCAAATCTTCGACGAGAAAATCGATTTTTCAGAACATCGTTAAAGACATGGAAATTCATGTAGAAACAGTTCCAACATTTCCAGTACGAAAATGGCTGCAGATGTTACTTGTTGCAGACGACAGACACTGTAGACAGGCAAACACGTTTTCCTGTGAAAAATACTTTCCTCCCGTCTGTGTATAAATTCAATGAATATGTCTGTGACGTAGATAATAAGTAAAAAATCAATTGAAGTTTTCACTCATCGATCGTGTTTGTACTGGATGCTATGCATATCACAGGCTAGGCACTAGGAATGCTGGAAACGTCTCGCACGTAGTTTTTATATAGGTGTATGGAAACACAGACGAAAGCCATTGCCTTGTATTCTTTGAACGGCAAAATATTAACATGAACGGAGTACAAGTTGGTGTAAATGTGACGTTGCGTTTTTCAGTTTCAAGTTGTACAAGTGCAGGTTCTAAATGGTTATGTCAAGCCCTTGTATAATACGTATAAAATACGCTGTTGAGCCACCTCATCTCATCAAATTTCGGGCACGAGAGATTTATGAAACGTGATTACGTGCGCTAGTCTCATTCAATGCATCGTGCATGTTGTAATGATCTTTCTTCAGGAGTCATTAGTGATCCTGTTTCTCTGAACCTTGGAAATGGAACAATGGTTGCACTTCATAAAGGCTAAATTGAAAAGCCCTGAACTCAATGTAAAACTATATTAATTCGCAAGTGGAGTGACAGATCCTATTAAGTTTTAAGAGTGAGGTGAGGTGAAATTGGGTTTATCGTCGAGCTTGAGAATATTTCGCTCATATGACGACGTGCATGCGTATGTATGTGTATGTGCGGCTGCTTGTACTAGCCCAGACTTAAGCTGGTCTTATAGTGCTAGCCCACTGAGATACCATGCCGCAGTGAAGCATGAATACCCCACTCAGACACATTATACTGACCCCGAGCCGACCAGTCCTTGTTGTACCCATTAATGCCGAACGCCAGACAGGGACCAACAAGTACCATATTTTAATATGACGCGGTATGGGGGATCGGGGATCGGGGATCGAACCCGCGACCTTCCGCTCTCCGGGCGGACGCTCTAACCACTACACCACGGAGGCGGTCAGTTTTAAGAGTGAGTGAGTATAGTTATATGATGATTGTAGCAATATTCCAGCAATGTCACGGCGGGGGACACCAGAAATTGGCTTCACACATTATACCCATGTGGGGAATCGAACCCAGGACTTCGCCGCAAAGAGCCAATGCTTTAACTACGAGGCTACTCCACCACCCCAAGGAAACTTGGAAAACTGACCCTGTAGACATTTTCAAGCAAATTATATCAGCCATACTGGTTCGAGATGCATGCTTGCAGTGTCTGTTCTCCCAAGGGCGGATACAGCTTTTGAGAAAGGGGGGGGGGGGGGGGGGGGACACTATTGAGAAAAGGAGGGGTGCACATTTCATTTTCACCCGAGTTTCAATGGTCACTTAACAAACTCTCAGCACAAAGGGGTGCGCACCCCTGCACCCTGCACACACCCCCCCCCACCCCACCCCACCCTCTGGATCCGCCTATGTCTCCATTGGTGTTAACACATGTTATATTTGGGATTACACTTTCCAAGTAAAGTAGAGATTCTAGTACTTTTGTTGGGTTGAGTTCCTCCCGGGATTCGAACCTAATCGCCAGTTCACAAAGTTAGCCGTCTAACCCACTCAGCCATCGCGGCTTCCACAAAAACGGAAGTCGGACAATGGTAGTCTTGCCCACGGACTTTGGGTACCCCTCGGACATGTGTCAATTGTCCCTTGTCCCTTGTCGGTGAGCCTGACCAACCGATCCCGTTTGTTGCCCCTTACGACAAGCATAATTGCAGATCAAATCTTCACGGGTTTAACAAAGTTAAGGACGAAATAATCTGGTATGGGATTATTGTATGTTTGTTTTGTTGCTTTAAAACGCAGCACTGTTCTATATTACAGCTGTATTGTAGCGGTCTGGACCAGGCACCCCAGTGGCAGACATTATTGACATCGATGTATCGAGATACGATGACAAATGTCAATCAAGTCAGCGAGTCTGACCACCCGATCTCGTCGGTCAGACTCTTACGACAAGCATGGGTTGCTGAAGATACATCTTGACCCAGATCTTCACGGGTAGCCCAATCTTAAGTGACAATACAGACAGCTAATAGTATCGCGCATAACAGACCAAAATAGGCCGAATCGTTCACTTTGTGACACAAGCACCAAAATTGGCATGATCGCTCACCATGGGCTCCCTTTTCAGAAAAAAACGTAGGCCAATCAAAAATCCAAGATGGCCGCCACTGGTTATACAAAAATAGAATCTTTTTCTTTTGACTATGTTTTTCTTCCAGATGACTAATTCCACTTTACTTTAGCTTGCAGAACCATGTTTTAATGAAACAAAGACAAATAATAAATCATATTAGCCACTCAACAATCTAAGATGGCCGCCGTTTTTCAAGATGGCTGCCACTGATCATACAAAAGTTTTGGTTTCCTTTGCAGGCTTTCATCACTCTGATATTTGTACCTAAATGGGTTTTAAAGAGACATATTTTAAGGAAATTGGTAAAAATATTGCAGTAATAAAATAATTATTCAAACATGAAAACATTGCAGTAATATAATACACATTTAGATAATATATTAGATTTTCATGTTTGTTTATCTCTTGTCTGTATAACTGTTAACAATTCTTACAAATTTAGTTTTCAAGAAATATTGTGGCACAAAACATAACGCAGTTAACAGATTTTTAAAAACGTTTAATCAAATATATACTATTAAAAAAACAGAAAGAAAAACGCATAGCCAGTATTTTTCCTGGTTATGTTTCAAAAATGAATCATAAATGTGTGTCTAATCAGTATTTCCATGAATAGGACTGCGCGGTATTACCGGTATATTGCAATACGCTTTTCAAACAACTGCAATATTTTTCATGAGAATCCTAATATTGGGTGAAGAACATATATGAAGTTTTAGTGATTATCTTTATTGAAATTAAAATCTACACAGACATTACTTCAATGACAAAACGGCATACTGTAATGCTATAAATTGCACAAAAAAGAAAATATAATTACTGACTATGCAACCTAATTTTGAGAATCAGAATCATGACATATATGTTCAGAGACTTATAATGTAGAAAACAGGATTCATACCTAGACTTACCGAAGCTCAGCACAATAATGCGGTCGGTCATTTGGAAGCTGGTGAGTCGTAGCACTTTTATGTGTCCAAGTGTACCATAGGAAGGCTTTGGCATCAGCACCAGCAGCATGGAACGACACGTGATCGTCCTCGGTCAGGATGATCCCGGGTGACAACATCCGCCCAGGATAGACAGGTTTATTCGTCTTCGACACTTACGGAACAGGTTGACGACAGCATCTACAACATCTGTAGTGCCAGGACTCCTAACAATCTCGGACCTAACTGCCAGGAGCCGCCTTCGTGTGGCTGATATTCGTCCTAGGAGAACTTTGCGAGGACCTGTCCTTACCCGACATCATCGGCAGCAACTTAGACAGTGGTGTCGAAACCATCTCCAGTGACCATCACAAAGTGGAGAACTGTCGTGTTCAGTGATGAGTCCCGGGCTGGTATATGCTCAGCCTGACGGAAGAGCATGTGTGTGCAGATGGCGTCATGAACGGTATGCTCCCAACTGTGTACAGGAAGTGGATAAATTCGGTGGCGAGAGTGTTATGGTTTGGGCAGGCAGTGGAAGACCCGATGTTATTCACGTCCAGAGCAATCTTAAATCTCCAGGTTACTGTTCCATAAAATCATCAGGCCTCCTGTCATTCCATTCATGAACTGTCAGAACGTCATTTTCCAACATGACGATGATAGACCGCATGCAGGAATATTCAGCATAACGTTCAGGTTCTTTCATCACCCTCCGATCACCAGATCTGAACCAAAGTGAACATTTGTGGAACGAACTGAATCAACGTGTGAGACAGTGTGATCCTCAGCTGCAGACCTTAGCAGCTTTGTTTCTGATTTTGCACGAATAATATCAGGTCATTCCTGGACAGTTCATCCGGAATCTGATTCAATCTATTGGACGCTAATGCCAGGCAACCATTGTTGCTAATGGCGTTCACATAAGATATTGACTGCTCTGTGACTACGACCTTACTGCACATGTCATTTGTTACGTACCACCTCTACTTCCACTGGGCAGTACATGTTCAACAGTGTTTTCTCTATCACTGTCCTATACCACTTAAACTTACATGCTTAAATATATGAGTATTTTCAGCTATGAGTAGCATAGATTCAAAATTAGATAACACTGGACCCAAACAAATTTTATCTTTGTTTTTTTAAATATTTTTTCAAAGTTATCAAACTATATATAAATGGTATAAACAATATGTTTTCCGAAAATATATTGAAACATTGATATCTTATCTCCTGGTAAGTAAAATTGTTCACCTATGTTAAAATCAGATTTTAGTAAACAAAAGCAAATTGCGTTATACAAATTCTAAGAAATATAAGTACATCATAGCTGCATCAAGTATAGCTTATTCCAAAGTCACCCCGCTTAAACTTTTCTGAAAAGTGAGAAGCGTAAGTCGCAGAGCCCTCAATTCCACTATTTCAATCTGGCACTAGACATGGAACTCTTGATCCTAACGCTGATCAGATCATTTATATATAGAGAGGCAATTATAAATGAAACAGATGAGCCTGGTAAACAGTTACAATATAGATGATTCTGATGTCCATACTTCCTTACAATAATTTTGTTCTTTGGAAAGCTATAAAAACTATCATTGAACATTCATTGTCTTCTAAATCATGTTCTTGTATTAAGTGATCATGATCTGATAATTTTGCCTTTGAAATACTATCTCTCGTCTCTTGGCGGAGCCAACCTTATTGTTTGATCAACATGAGTACCACCAACCATATCTGAGACAAAAAAGTCGAAACCTGGTTAAAATTTTCGTATTTTGCCTCATTTGACATTTGCTTATAATATAATATGGCGGCCATCTTGGATTTCCTTCAGCAAAATGAATATGTTTTCTGGCCTATTACATCATCCAATCTAGAGATGTTATGATGAAAGGCAAATATGAAGATTACTTTTGATTCTGTCTTGTTTTGAGTTCAAAATGCAAGAAATATTTTTAAAACTTTGCTGTTTTTGGAAAATTGATGGCCATCTTGGATTTTGGAAGCAATCATATTTTGCTACATAGCATAAACAATGTCTTAATTAACACACTGAGACACAAATACGTTGACAATCTCAGAGAAATTCTGTTTTTAGGAGCTGAAACAAAGATAGTGTAATATAAATGACGGTCATCTTGGAATTTTGAGTGGCCAACGTTATTTTTTCAGTAAGTGTACTAAAATGAACATGTATGCAAATTTTGTTGCTTGTATCACAAAGTGAACGATTTTTCCATTATCTGCCCTACTATAAGGACATCCCGTGTTTAGTGGAGATACCCGTTCTCGTCTCACTGGGCCTGAATCACTTTGACAAGATCGATTTGTATGTTTTAGTTGTCACAATTCAAGTTACGCCGATAATTAACACTTGGAAAGAAACAACATCAAAATGATTTCTTGCTGTTGTATTGAGAACGTTTTTGATTTCATGTGTGCGAGAATATCACAATATCCCATTCATATATAGAGCTTACTATATGATTTGTCAATTTGTCTACTTCATCTAGACTTCAATGTTAGTTAACTGATAACTTTGTCATTTTCAATTATTGTCAATTTTAAGAACTGTTTTCAAACCGGCGGCGGTACACATGGATGCCTCTGGTTTGCAATTCACTGACGTTTCGATGCCAAACACCCTTGCAAAGGGACATTCGTTTACAGCACAATTCAAACCAAAAACCAAAAACAATTAATACACACAAAAAAAGAACAAAAACCAGTAGAATTGAAAATGTCAGTGGCTTTAGTTTGGGAATATGCGAACTATTCTTTTCGTAGCGAAGATTTACAAATAACAGAGCATGGTGACCCAACTTGAATTTTATCAATGTCATCGACACAACTGAAAGTACTTGAAAGCAGTAATCAAATTCCTGGGAACGAAACGCTATAACAATGCAATAGGAATGCGCAATGGTTGGCGCAGTGTGTTGAAATAAACTAATTCATTACGTAATACTGGAAGCATTGTCTTGCTTGGTCTTATGTGGGGGCTGCAGAATGGCTACAGACCAGTCTGACGTGTGAACACGACAACATGGCCGCTGGATGTGTTCTTCTCGTCTTCCCGCTGCTGCTGATGTCAATACGTTGTGACTTCGCACATGCAAAACACTCCATGCATGAGGTATCAGGTCAGTGATAGTATTATTATAATGTTTATCGACCATTAAAGTTACGCTATAAAGATCATAATTTGAATATGAAGTCGCCTGGACAAGGATCTTCAGTGACACAAACATGGCTGGCTAGTCTTTCACTACTAGTAGTAGTACAAGACCTTCTAATGACAGGCAGCATGGAGTTAGAAACGGATTCGGATTTGGGGATTGGGGATTAGGGATTCGAATCCCGAATCTGATTTTGTTGTTCACATTCGGGATTTGTATTGGGAATTGGGGATTCGAATCCCAAATATGAAAAAAATAATCAGATTCGGGATTCAAATCCCGAATGAGAACAACAAACTCTGATTTGGGATTTGAATCCCCAATACCCTATACGAATACGTTTCTAAACCAAACAAAAAACATATTCGGGATTCGAATTCCGAATGTGAACAAAATTCAGATTCGGGATTTAAATCCCCAATCCCCAATACGAATACGTTTCAAAGCCCCAAAAACAGATTCGATTTCCGTATGTGAACAAAAAATTCAGACTCGGGATTTGATTTCCCAGTCCCCAATACGATAACGTTTCCAAACAAACAAAAGAAGATTCGGGATTCGAATTCCGAATGTGAACAAAACATTCAGATTCGGGATTCGAATCCCCAATCCCCAATCCGTTTCTAACTTCATGTTGCTATAATGGCAATGCTCTGTGTACTGCTATTTAAGATGAAGAAGTCTACCTAGTCATTTATAACACAAAACACTTTGTCGTGCAAAGAAAAGGATTGAGATACAGTCAACCTTTTTAGTTAATAAATCTCATTAATCTTCACTTATATTATTTTACCTTATCTGTATCACCGTTTCATTTATTCTTGTAGGAGAGGAACACCTTGATTTTGTTGAGTACAGAGTTGCCGTGCTGGAGGAAAACTTTGGTATGGCCATTTTCTCACCATGACAACGATCGATAGGTCTCAAGTAAAACATAACAGAATGCACACAAGCGCATAATGTTCTGAGCTGAGTTTCGTAATTCAAACCGTACAATAAATAATCATGCGACTGTTTCTCACTCTAAAGTGCATATGAAAGCAATGACGGTTATTCATAAATTTGTTTCGGTACCTTTCAATTCACACTTAATTATATATTCGAAAATAATACCTTTGGAAACGCATACGTTTTGTATAAAAATGCACAGATGCCAACATATTCTTTATCAAAGGGAATGGACTAAGCATGTGTTAAGAACGCTCTTGTTATCTCTGGAAAGGGCGATCTCTGTACAGCATGATCCCCAGGGAGTTGAGATTGAAAATATTATGTGCAGTTGAGATTGACATCCAGTGATCGAGGGAAAAAACAAAGCGCTTAAAGCATGCATGTAGATGGAATGGACTATAGCGCTATATGAAAATAGCCATATAATAACAATAATAATAATAATTCTTCCAGAGACGTTGAAAACTGGTGCTAACGTTAAGTGCGGCCTGCCTCCATCTATATATGGATCAGAGGTTGTATATACATCGATTCACCTCAATGGCGTGGCCAAGTACAGTTGCAGAGACGGTTACGTAGGACAAGGTTCAGATATTTCACTGTGTACCGACAAAGGCGTTTGGTCCCCGACAGACAAAACATGTTGTAATGGTAAGTAAATCGTCGTGGAATTGCACTCTAATTTGTCATGACTTGGTAGCTTAAAGTGGCAGAAAAGTCCGAAGTGACGCAAGAATTATAGATGACGGAACTCTACAATGCGAAGTAAACCGGATTGATGCTTTGAAGGCTTTGGACTTTGGAATGGTCTCTGTCAAGTGAACGATCATTATCAGGGGATATCCAAATTGAAATTCACGTACACAGGTTCATGGAGCGCCAATATATCGCAACTGATAAACGCCTTATGCAGTTTTCGCATTGAAAGGGGGAAACCTGTCACTACGGCTTCATAAGGATTGGTCACCGTTATGGGCTGTCGATATGGCATATATACCCTTAGATTGTTGGAACGACAGACACAGTAGTGTCTAAAACATGCCAGAATGTTGGACACTATTTACACCTAACGATGTAAAGAGAGTCTTAATGTTGGACATTATATACACCTAACGATGTAAAGAGAGTCTTAATGTTGGACATTATATACACCTAACGATGTAAAGAGAGTCTTAATGTTGGACACTATTTACACCTAACGATGTAAAGAGAGTCTTAATGTTGGACATAATATACACCTAACGATGTAAAGAGTCTTAATGTTGGACACTATTTACACCTAACGATGTAAAGAGTCTTAATGTTGGACACTATTTACACCTAACGATGTAAAGAGAGTCTTAATGTTGGACATTATATACACCTAACGATGTAAAGAAAGTCTTAATGTTGGACATGTTTACACGTAATGGTGTGGAGAAAGTCACAGAGTTGAACATTATTAAATAGCGGTGTAAAGAAAGTCTCAATGTTGGACATCATTTACACAAGACTTACACTTATTGGTGTAAGAAAAGGCTCAATGTTATTTACACCTAGTGGTGTAATGAAAGTTTCGGCGCTGAACATCATTTACACATAATAGTGTACAGAAAGTTAAAAAGGCAGCACCGAATATTGAAAATATGGCCAGATTGAATTAATAGCCGGATTGATGCAGATTTTAAATAATCACAATAATCTTTCACAAACTCATCCAATCACAGATGTTAGATAATTCAATCAAGTATACGAAAACTGCTTGTCAAACTATGGGTTCTGATCGGTTGTATTATAACCTATAAGTGTATCTTTTGTGTGTGAAATAAAACTGATCCATGAATATATATTACTTCTTGTTTGGAAGTACATTTTACAAGGATTGTGTCATTAACAGATATATAACAGGTACTAGCACAATGTGGAAATTAAAGGGGGAACTGCGAATCCATTCTTGTAGACACTGCCGGTGTGAAAACGTCATATAGTACGCTGCAATATTTTCATTTGTTTCATAATGTTCGTTAGGACATGTTAATTATCAAAACTACACCTGCAGCTCCTGGAAGGTTGCTATCTCAATCTTATTCAACGATCATTGATTAGAGGATTTTTTTACGGGTTTATGTGTGTGTGTGTGTCATAAGTTTTCTGACACGTGTGGGTATAATTGTTTTTAATGACATGCTAATGATACCACAGAACCTACAAAAAAAGGTAACTACTCGTGAAGCACGAATTTATTAAATCGTTTAGTGGATTTAAGGAATAAATATGTCATAAATATTTGATCTGGCAGTAGACACCTTTTCTGGGTTTCGTGGCAAATACGGACGACCTTTCACATTGATCTTGGCAAGATTTCAAGTATTTCTTCACAGCGGCGTCGGAACTAACAGTAATTTATTTTTAGGGGCGGTGGGGCACCGGTGGACACTCAAGAGACTTCCATGTCCAGTAAATGGAACGTCCGTTTCTGGTGTTTCCAGCTGGCTCCTTGCAATGTCCAAATTTAACATTTGTATACTGCAACAAACCTATTGTCCATGTTGCAGTATCCGTCGTTGTTGCAAGATGGTTTGGTAGGATGGTGTACACCGGCAACGTTGCTACGACGGTGACAGGCAAGACGTGTCAGAGATGGAAGGCCCAGGCACCACACAGACACTCGTTCAAGGACCACATCTCAGTCAACCCATTCGGCGGTGAGACACTGGACGATAGCGCCAACTACTGTCGGGACCCATCAGGCAGTGGGTATTTGTGGTGTTACACGACGGATCAAAACACACGTTGGGAAAAATGTAACATCCCTCGGTGTTGACATGGTTACCATTACGCTACTGGAGCTCACCTATTTGCTCTCTGACAATTGGGAGTAGAATTGTCTCTACTAGTTTCTAATATACATTTCTATGGCAAGATGTCAGATAGATTTGGAGTTGAAATAAAAGCATTTTTCATTTCTTGATTTTCGACATTAAACTACGTCAGTGTCAGTACGTGCATCATTATATTTTGTCATGCTTACGATTGTATTGATTCAAAGTGAGTGAAAAAAGAGTAGGTGAGTATGGTTTTACGCCGCTTTTAGCAATATTCCAGCAATATGACGGCGGGGGACACCAGAAATGGGCTTCACACATTGTACCCATGTGTTGAATCGAACCCGGACATTCGATGTGATGAGCGAAAGCTTTAACAACTAGCCTACCCCACCGTTAATCTATCTCAAAAGTAAAATAAGATATATGAAAAGTATAAAACAATCATTCACGTCATAATATTGTTGAACCAGCAACGTCGGCATTTGGCAAGAGGGGGCTTGGAACAACGATATCTTACCACTATTTCGTAAGAGGCGACTAACGGGATCGGGTGGTCAGGCTCGCTGACTTGGTTGACACATGTCATCGGTTCCCATTTGCGCAGATCGAGGCTCATGCTGTTGATCACTGGATTGTCTGGTGCAGACTCGATTATTTACGGACCGCCGCCATATAGCTGGAATATTGATAAGTGCGGCGTAAAACTAAACTCACTCACTCACTCACTCTTACCGCTATTCTTGACAGACCATCCAAGTTGGCTGTGAGCAAGCACACACTGTGACACAGGTTCGAAGAAAATAATTATTCTTGTTATAAACCAAACGTCCTATCCTGGGAAAGACTTCTGCCCGTATCCCTTCTTTGAATTTCATTTTACCAGGTCCTAGCCTAACCCTTAAACCCTAACCCTTATTTTATGGCTTCTAGTCAAATCATTATACCTGAATATATGGATATCTTTTTCCTCATCGTTCAAATTTAGGGGGGATACGGGCGGAAGTCTTACCCCTGCACATGCAATTACCAGAACAATAAATTAAATTTACTGAGTTTACCAACTGTTATAAGTAATATTAATGAACGAGATCACTCAAGCACCTTACTGCAGAGCGCTGAACAGGGGGGTCCATACTCTTGAAAAAGCGGGCGGGGACTGCACACTTCATTTCCACCCGATTTCAATTATGGAACTTTTAGGACAAGTGGGGGTGCGCACGTCTGCACAGCCCCTCTGTATCCGCCTATGCCTGAACATTTAGCCTAACAGTAATAATTATAAAGTAATGAACACTTTCATTAGAGAAAACAATGTTACGGAATATATGTGGAATGATTTGGGATAATTATTTAAAACTCTTGAGACAGAATCACACGCGTACATCAAATTATTCCTTCTCAGTCGATGCACAGTTTCGAGTGCCTCATGTATACATACGCCACTTTCCGGCTACTAGTATTCTTTTACGACATCCCAAATTATCTCCCCTTAGCCCTACAGCTTAACAAAATAAAAATGAACGAAGTTATAACGCTTACTGGCACATCTTAGCAAAACATACACAAACCAATCACTCAGGCAATTGTGACCCACTCGTGTGGTTTGGGACAAGCCAAACAGAGGTTACGGTTACAAGGAGCGAGTGGTGACGGATCTATATCAGTCACTTCCGTTCCAGTTGGCGTCGAAAACAGTCACATCATGAAGGTGAAGGTCACAAAAAATGAAGGCTCGCTTTTTCACATAAAATCGTCTGCAGCAAGACCTTACAATGGTGGGATTCCGCCCTGTGAGCAGGTTGCCGTTCCACTGAGCGATCTTAGTCCCACGCCAATCGTAAACCCCTAAAATCCCAATCTTGCCGTGACGTTACGATCGGCATACCGTTCCACTAACCAATCTTACCTAAGTCAATCGTAAAGTTAAGATCCAAAGTCTAAGTTGCCCATGACCAACTTAGGATCTCTAAAATCAATCGAAGAGAAACTAAAATGGTGGTAAAAGAAGAAGAGCGAGCATTTCACCGTGAGAGTCCCCTAAAACTCCCCGTGAAATGAATTTGTTTATTTCTACGATGAAAACAAGCACTGCACTGAAGCCTTATATTACAAATGTGAGGCCAGTCTGACTACTGACGTTATAGGAACACAGCCGAGGGAGTCGGTGTAATACATGTGTACAACAATATTGCAACGTCATGGTTAACAACAGGGACGGGTCGTGAAGTGAGCAATGTTCTGAAACCAAAAAATACGACTATGTTTGATTTCACGTGCGTTTATTTGGTGGGGGAGTCTAAAGGCAGGTCGCGCCTTGTTTATTCTGATCCACAAGATTCAGCCACATCTTATGCCTGATACCCAGCGTTCACACGCACTTGCACTACCCTAATATTTTGCTCGAGATATTTTCTCCACGTTTACACTTGGTTCCAAAGCTACTTCCATCGTCAAATAGACTATGCAAAGGGAGATAACTCATGCCTTGCATTTCTCTATCTCTCGCACGGAAGAGTTCTCGATCTAAGCTTAGATCGGATCGTAAGATCGGGACCGGCTACGATCGGACTAAGATCGGTTAGTAGAACGGGTGTAACTTTTAGCTAAGACGATTGTAAAATAGGCGTAACGTGCTAAGATCGATTGATCTTAGATAAGATCGGTTAGTGGAACGGCACCCTTGTCACATATCAGGTGAAGTTAAGCAACGTTGGGCGCGGAGACCGTGTTTGGCAGCTTGACTCCTGAAAGTTTCTAGGACCACAGTCATGCAGAACAACGAAGCACATGTGATGCATGCTGTCTCACCTCAAGCTAGTGAGTTTGTTCAGACTCTTCCTGGGGGTTACGGGAAGGAGCGAGTGGTGACGAATGTATTTCAAGAACACATCAGTCACTTCCGTTACAGTCGGCGTCCAATGCAGTCACATAATGAAGGTGAAGGTCACAAAAATGAAGGCTCGCTTTTTTCACATAAAATCGTCTGCAGCAAGAACTTAAGCTTGTTGGATTCCGTCCTGTGCGTAGAGCTCAGGTCACAAATGATGTGACGTTAGGGTAAGCAACGTTGGGCGTGGAGACCGTGTTTGGCAGCTTGACTCCTGAGAGTTTCTGGGACTTTAGTCCTGCCCCACGAAGCACACATGACGTGGTCTCACCTTAAGCATGTGAGTTTGTTCAAACATGCCTCTGTTCACCCAGCAGAAAATCGGTACCCGGTGTGATATGTGACTTTAACCTTCTAGTGCCTCACATGCAGTTTGGGTTATCCGGGTAATAATAAACAACTTGTAGCGCTTTGAGCTTGCTCCTCCGTGGTGCGGGATTCAGCGCATTACAAATGCCCTTATTAGGTCTTCAGACGAAAGTCTGGAAGACCTACTGTTATTATCCGAATATTATTCTTCTTCTTATTATTATTATTTGTACAGATTTTGTGACAGCTCTCCTGACCTAACCGCTTGGTCGATGTTCGTGAAACTTTCAGGGATGATAGCCCGTGTGCTGAAATTGATACATAGACTTCCGGCTTCCGGTAAGGGCAGACAACCCAAAATGTCGAAATCTTTACACCTGAATAACTCAAAAACTAAAAGAGCTAAATTGACCAAATTTTCACTCAATGTAGACAACATCATGCCCCATCGATTCAACCCATACCGGAAGTTTCGCGGCAGAATAAATTTTCCGCAATTTTGAAAAAACTGAATTTTTTGCCGATTTCCTCGAGTTGACGGTGCCTGTCTTTAAAAATCTTCTTCTCCAGAACGGCATATAGTACAATCGCGTTCGATATATCATTGTAAAACCCACACTCCGGACTTCTTAAACCCTTCAAGGCATATGGATATCTTGAATAGTTTAAGAGTTATCGCCCTTGGAAGTCGGTGAATTTTTTCAGACGCATTTTCATAGGGTTAACAAAAGGTCACAACTCTCCGAAAAATCAATGGATTCCATGTTCGTTATTACCATCCTGTAGGTAATTGAAAGGGAAACATTTCTGCTTCACATCATGGTTATGTAAAAATCAATAATAACGTCACCATTACGACACAAACACTTCGCGATTTCGCAAATTTCCGCACCTTTTTTACGGTGCCTGTGTTTAACAATTATCTGCTCCTGAACGGCAAATAGTACAATAGTGTTCTATATATCGTTTTAAAGCCCACACTCCAGACTACTTAGGTTGTTCAATGCATGTCGATAGCTTGAATAGTGTCGGAGTTATTGTCCTTGGAAGTTGGTCAATTTTTGGCAAAACGCATTTTTATAGGGTTCACAGCTCTGCGAAAACACAATGTATTTCATGTTTGAAGGTACTAAACTGTAGACAATGAAATGTGGAACAATTTTGCTTCACATTATTATTATGTAAAAGTCAATAGTTACGCCACAATTACGCCACAAACAGGGCGGGACATTAGGATTTCGCATTTTTTCAGTTGTGAGAGTTGTAATATAGCTGGAGGAAGTGTCGTAAAATCTAGCAACACTGCCGACGTCCTGGTTTTCCAGTGCCCACTGAAATGGTTCCTTCTTTTACAGGCCGTAACTCCGCTGTTCTTAGGTGTACATTCAAAAGAATTAGTGTTCTGGAATTGCCAGGATGAGATCGCTCCAGCACTTTATTTACCAGCCTCACAGTGAGAAGAATACACTTGACTTTTGGACCACAACAAAGTCTGCAACATTTACCAGTAATCCCTCTTATAGTATATGCGTCCTATAAAGTGACTACCACTGCAAAGCGTGGTCCACGTGCAAATATGGGAGACGATGTGAATTTCACCGACAGCTGTAATTGACAATGACAGGGAGCTATCAAATCTTTGCTGAAACGTTATTCAATGCCCAAAGAAATAGTTGCCCTTGAATTGGCCTTTACATTACATCGGCATTATCCTACCCATACAGCGCCAAGAACAAGTTTGCATTAATAAACACTGCAAATACAGAGTCAGAAATGAGTTTTATTTCAAATTTTTGAATGGGTGTTTAACAAATGCACTCTATACACACACATAAATCTATGGTTGTTTCACAAGTGCAGTATATGCATATACGTCTATGCGTCAGATACCTAGGATGGTGGCAATTCCAGAATACTAATCGTTTAAACAGTACACCCAAGGACAGCGGAGCTACG